GGTTAAACAAATTCATATTTTATGCCACAGCACAAGCGGACTAAAGTAACCTATAAGCAATTGTATGCAAACAATTCTTAGTCTTTAATCCACAACAGAACTAATGTAAAATTACGGTAAACTTATCAGAGCTTGTTCAGGAGAGGACACCGCCCCCAGCTGCTAACCCTGTAGTACAAACTTCTTCTGAAATGTATGTGATTAGCAAACAGACTGTATGTGTACGTAAATAAGTAATGTTTATTTATATAGCGCATTTTACAGACCAAGGTCAACCAAAGCGCTTTACAATTGTCCAGAGTTCAGATAGTGTGTCTCTAACATTCATGCATCTTGTGTTGTGATAGTCCCATATACTCCAGAATCTCTTTACAATAAACAAAACAAATGCAAATCTAAATGGCACAATTTATAGGTTGGCATGGTGGCGAAGTGTGTAATCATACAGGAAGAACTGGCATGTTCTCCCTGTATCTCAGGGTGCTCCGGTTTCTCCTACAACTAAGAACATACAATACATGTACACATGTACAATAGGGCGACTATTACACACTCCCCGGCCCCCACTCCCGCCCCCTCTCTATGGGGCCAGAAAAATAGATTATGAAATCTCAGTGGGACTATTTTTTATGTTAAAAAAGGTCTTGCAAATATATATCTTTAAAAAAGGAAATAGTAATACAATGTTGATTTTGAATTGCTGCATATACTTAATCCATCTCCACGCTCACAAACACGTGGTCTTTTCTGATCATTAATTGATTCTGACTTGTGACATTGTTGACGCTGGCATGCCTTAAGAAGATTATACAATTAGAAAAAACAATCAAGTTCTGTTTCTCCGGTGAAATCCGGCTGGTTTAATCCTCCTTTCTACCTAAACCTCAGCACCCACATCCCAAGATTTGATCAGATCTGGAGAAGCAGCAGTTACATATGTGTCCGTGCCATAGGTCCAATCAATCAATCAATCAATCTTTATTTATAGGGCGCTTTTCCTGCACAGGGCAACACAAAGCGCCTCACAGTCCACACCACACAATGCACAAATCATCACCATTAAAATACAATTAAAAACACATATGTAATTAAAAAGCATTAAAATCACATAAGTAATTTAAAAACATAAAAATCACACAAGTAATTAAAAACAATAAAATAGTTAAAAACACAAAAAGTTACAACAATAAATAACAAGGTGTGTTAAAAAGATAAAATTCTCTAGTTGTATGCACGGGAAAAAAGAAAAGTCTTTAACATGGATTTGAACATTGACAGAGAGGCAGCCAGTCTCACATCCTCAGGAAGACCGTTCCAGACTCCAGCTGCATAAATCTGAAAAGCAGCCTCCCCCTGTCTAGTCCTGACTCTGGGCACTAACAGGAGTCCCGTCCCTGCGCTCCTCAGAGTCCGGGCTGGTTCATATGGGACTAGCATATCATGGATGTACTTTGGTGCAAGGCCATGGAGAGACTTGTACACCAGGAGAGCTGCTTTAAAGTCTATCCTCTGGGCCACGGGAAGCCAGTGCAGAGACCTGAGGACCGGACTAATGTGGTCGTACTTCCTGGTTCTAGTCAGGACTCGGGCTGCAGCATTTTGAATATACTGCAACTGTCTTACTGCATGTTTGGAGATACCTGTGAGCAGGCCATTGCAGTAATCCAGCCTACTGGAAACAAAAGAATGGATAAGAATCTCCAAGTCTGCCCTGGACACAATATTTTTAATTTTGGCAATATTTTTCAGATGATAAAAAGCTGCTGATGTTACCGATCCAATGTGGCTATTGAAGTTTAAGTCAGAGTCCATTATTACTCCCAGATTTCTGACCTTATTTAAGGGCCTTAGGGAGAGAGACTGAAGGTGACAAATGACGGTCTCTCTTTGTTTCTCGGGACCAAAGACAATCATTTCGGTTTTGTCCGCATTTAGCTGGAGAAAATTGCATTGCATCCACTCACTGATCCGCTGGATACAGCGAAGGAGTGAGTCCACCGGCCCATGCTCTCCTGCAGTCAGTGAGACATAGATCTGAGTGTCATCAGCGTAATTGTGATAGGACACTTTCATACTTTGAATTAACTGACCTAATGGCAGCATGTAAATATTGAACAGGAGAGGTCCCAGAATCGACCCCTGTGGCACTCCGCAGGTCAGGGCCATATTATCTGAGACATAGTTTCCAATCTCCACACAGTACTTCCTTTCTTCTAGATAGGACCTAAACCAGCTTAGGGCGGTACCAGCAACACCAACCCAGTCCTCCAGTCTCTGCATGAGAATATCATGGTCAACGGTGTCGAAAGCGGCACTCAGATCTAACATGACTAAAACAGAGACTTTTCCTGCATCAGTGTTAAGCCGAATATCATTTGTTACCTTGACTAGAGCGGTCTCAGTACTGTGGTGTGGTCTAAAGCCAGACTGAAACATGTCAAATGAGTCATTAGATATTAAAAATTCAGTAAGTTGTTGGTAGGCAACTTTTTCAAGAATTTTTCCCATGAAAGGCAGATTTGAGATGGGACGGTAATTTTCAAGTACCGCAGCATCCAAACTGCTCTTTTTTAGGAGGGGCCTAATGACTGCCTTTTTCAGGGCCATTGGAAATGTTCCAGATAAAAAAGACATGTTTTACTATTTGTGTCAATGAGGGTAATAGACTACACATAACAGACTTCAGAAATCTAGGAGGTAGTACATCCAGACTGCAGGTAGAGGAACTAAGACCTGTGATTATCTTTTTAACAGTTTCATCATTGACAGGTGCAAATTGAGCTAGCTCACAAAGCCTCACTGGATGTTGCATTGTTACTTGTGTTGTAGAGGTGATGGCATTTCTGATACCCTGAACCTTGTCTCTGAAGAACTGTGCAAACTCATTACACCTGGATTTGGAGTAGTGTTCTAATGGCAACTCAACAGGGGGGTTCGTTAATCTATTGATTGTTGAAAATAGAACACGCAGATTGTTGCTGCAGCCTTCAATAGTTTCAGAAAAGTATAATTCTCTTGTTCTACGTAGTACTCTGTTAAACTCACACAACTTCTCTTTTAAGAGTCTATAATCACCCTGGAGGTTGGACTTTCTCCACTTTCTCTCTGCTCTCCGGCACTCTTGCTTCTGTGCCCTGACCGGGCCTGCTTTTATCCATGGGGCTTTTTGCTTATTTGTGACCATTTTTACCTTCACAGGGGCAATGGCGTCCAGAACATTCAACACACTAGAGGTGACAGAGTTAAGCAGTTCATCTACAGTAGAACATGATGTGTTCTCAAAATGGATCATTCCCATAAATAGTTGACCCGTGTTTTCATTTAAGTGTCTACTTCTAACAATTTCATATTTAGCGGGTGGTCTGGTACCAAGAGCCGGTTGGCCCTTTCAACAAATTGTTTAAGTACGAGCTACATGGTTGGTCCTTAAAATATAATTGTTTTTTCGACATAGTTCTGAACATTATTGATGGACAGAGCTGGTAAACACTGTACAAAACTCACTCTTCAAGTCACAGAGCAGCAGGTTGCATCTCATTTTGTGCACCCAGAGAAAATACCACTGACCTGTCTAACATATGAGTCATGAAATCCATTTGCACAAACATCAGAGATAATGTACCCTGAGCGCCGCATCTACCTATCAGCTGGCACGCTGCAAGCCCAACCCCCTCGACACATGTAAAAAGCAAAGGTCAGCCTAACCAACCATTGCACGATGACCTAAATGACATCAGCGCAATGACAGCACACACATATCTCATTCTTGATGCGCCGCAGACTGTCAGACTGGCCGTATGACAGTACCGGGAGGGAGCCGAGAACAGAAACAGCCTCTGAATCATATCACACAAAAGGAGAGGAGACATGCTGCCAGTGCCCACCAGAAATGTGGGCTCCTTGTAATAGTACTCTCGAGCAAAATAGCTGCTTAGGTGTTTCGAGATACCACCACCGACCTGATTCACAAAAGATGTGGGTGTCAAATGGTGGAGTGCATATTCAGGGTTGTGAGCAAAAGTGACTGAGAATGAGTATACAATTAGATAACAGATAAGAAAAACCTTGCATTTTGACTTACACAACAGGAATGCAGTAACAAACTGGGGTAATGCAGTAATAGCTGTGTAATGTACCGTGTTGCAAATTCTACCCTGCTTCTTCTCTGGTGTTGTTTACCACTTTTTAGCAGTTGCATCGTCCTTGCTCACCAGTGTAGCCAGTGCCACAGTGGACACAAGGTCACACACATATAATCTACTATACGCACTGCCTGTCTGTCAAACATTTCTGGTGCAATATTGTGCTTATAGTGGTTGGGCAGTACTCTTCCACGCTTTAGTAACAAAGGCAGTATTAAATCACATCATAGGGAATTCACATTACTCCAAGGAATATACTAACTAAATCATAGCAGGATTGTTTACCCTTAATGTGCACGTTCTTGGCTTTTGAGACGTGTAGGTCTTCGTGTTAGAGGTTAGTTTGTATACAATATATAACTATTTAAAGGGTACGTAGTAGATTCTTATGCACGATCCAACCTCATGTTTGAGACAGCTGGTGACGCAAAGAAGTCCCAATGCAGGCACAACTAGGTAACACCAAAGCAATGCGGTCTAGTGTACTACTACGATGAATAATTAAGGTTTTCTTTTTAAGAAATACAAGCCGATGTGCAGTGGGATTAGTTTTATGTTAAGTTAACTGGGCAGTACATATTGAACAAAGCTTACAGGGATCCCAGCTCAAGTCCCAGGCACACAGGGGAAAGAACACAAAGGCACTATACTCGGAGTTGGGCTTTTCAAAACTCAAAGTATAACAAAAAAAAACAGCTGCAATTCTTAGTTTGATTGCCATGTTTGTTATGCATGACGGGGGATTGATTTGCATGCACGAAGCTGGAGTTAGCAAAGCCCCCGGAGAGGCCATTTAAACACAAAGTGGGTAACATTACAGCTGGCTAGCCGCGTTCCAGACCAGCCACCGCCGCTTACCTCGAGCCGATTTCCCCGGGGCAAAGTGCTCGAATCCCGGGTCACACCGCTGTCATTTCGCGGGGGAGATGTCGCAGTGCGTGTGCGGGAGCCTTCTCTGGGATGGAGGCTGGTTTGGAGGTGTTTTAGCCGCGGTAGAAATGAGCAGTTGAGGAGAAGCCTCCGCTCTTCGCTGATCGCATCTTTCCACAGCGACAGCGCCACCTGACAACGGAAGTGACGCACAGAGAAGGCGGAGTGATTGACAGTCGCGGCAGCCAATCAGGAGGCGCGCTGGTGTCGATGATGAAATTCTCTACTCTTCTTCGCATAAATAAAAACTTGTTGACAAATGCATTACGTCATCGCGGGTTTCCTGGACAGAATGAGCAGACGCGTTCCCGCGGGTATAAATAAGCATGTATCTAATATTCTAGTGTCTTGTCAATCTGTCTTTTACCCTGGTTTCCTGTAGCTTCGGCACCAGAACTTGCAGAGCAGTTAATTTGACGGCTTTTAGTTTTGGAAGAGGAATTATTCAGCTCATGTACTTATTATTGTCCTTCATAACTTTGCAACTTTCTTTTATTTCTTATATTCTTGTATTTTATAAATGTGACTTTTACCATAAGCTCCATTCATTTGAAGGTAAAATTAAAATGTAGCCAACTTTAACTGCCAACATTCTATGGCAGTTAGCGCTTGAACCCACAGAATTCTAAAACTACTCGAACTCCCTGAGACGTATTTTTGACTGCTCCCATTCAAACCAATAGATCCATGATTCAAACCAATAGATTCATGAGAAATTTCCCTTACAAATTGGAAAGCCATTTACTCACTGGCAAAAACTGATGAATATAACTTGATATAACAACAAAGGCTTAATGCTAACTGCTGACAGTAAACAATGTGTTGCATAAACAATGTGTTACTCTGGTAACTAGTACTGGCTCTTCTCTTTTGATAATGTAATCAACATTAATGACTATAGTCACAAAGTTATTGAAGACTAAAAATTGACATTAGCTGAGTTATTACACTTCCAAAACTAAAAGCAGTCAAATTGACTGCTCTGGAAGTTCAAGTGTTAAAGCCCCTTTTCTTCAAGACGCTGGTCCTGGACTGCGTCTTGAAGTAACACACTGTTTACTGTCAGCAATAAGTATTTGGTGGCCTTTCATTATACTGTTTAAGACTAAGAGATCCTTTATTTGTCCCTCAGTGGGGAAATTTCAAGTTTCTGCTATATTTCAAGTTTTATTAACCTGTTTGAGCACTTATTAAAAGTGAGAAAAGGACAAAACATGATAAGATAACACTTTATTGATCTTTCAATGGAGAAATTCAAATATTACATTTGGCTTCTTTAAGGTCACTCCGGGTGTGCAAATAGACAGGCGTCAGAGTTAAAACAAACACATCTTTTGGGGATTGTGTTCTGAAGTCCATTGGTTTGAATGGGAGCCGTCAGAATGACTGCTCTGGGAGTCAAAAGTAGTTTCACAATTCTATAAGTCCTAGTCAAAAAGTATAGAAGTAACTCTGCTGTTCAGACATTAGAAAACAGTGAAGGTGCTGCAATCATAAATACCACTTAGTTATGTTAAAGTTACTTTTAATATTGATTTTTTTCAATGCAGTGACACTGTTAAATAAGACCCGCAGATAACCATCAATGACCTAGTTTCAAAAAGGAAAGCCACTTCTGGGAACATAGAGTATTTGTACATGACTCGTTGGTTAGTAGTGGTCACTTTGTGTTGAACATGTTTGTGTAACAGCACCATCCACTGGCTTATGTTGTAATTACACTCTTAACAACAGAATAATACTAATCGCATTGGTTCAAATGTGTACACAATGAAAAACTCGTACATGATTTTCTTTAACTTCAATTTATTAAAAAAATAACAGATAACAATTGAACATAACATTTAACTAAATAATAGCCTTCATAAATAATCATATTGCACTGCTCTCAAATACATATTTACAAAAACATGATAAATCCTGACATTTGTCTTTCAATCGTCCGTGAACACTGTATGTAACGTGTCACGATGTGTTAAGGAGTTAGCACATCGATTCCTTTTGAAGGGCATTAAGAAAGGGTACATCCATGGGCCAATGTTGCACACACACACACACACAGGCACACACACGCACACACACACAAACACACACACACACACACACACACACACAGGGCAGACCTGTGTCTACGGTGTGTGTCCCAGACTGTATGTACACAACACTGACTAAACCATCATCACCACATCCTTGTCAGTTAACACAAACACAGATGTGTGTTGTGGTGTTTGCAGCTGAGGGTCTGTCTGTAGTTCAGTTTGAGGCTGTGCTCCAGAGTCTGTCGCTGACCCTGTCGCTGACCCCGTCACAGTCCGTCCATCATGGCCAACAGGTCGTCTCCTTTGCTGCTTGCATTTGGAGACTGATCAGTGGAGTCTGAAAACTCTCCCATTATCTTGGTGAGTTCAGCATCGACCTGTTCGTCCTAAAAGCAAATAAATACAAGAAAAAGTATATTAGGATTTATAAATGTAATACATAATGTTTCAAAAATAAGCAACTCAAGGTAAAACGATGAACTGTAAGGGCAGATGTACCTTTGTGGCCTGAATACTTATGACTCCATAACAAAGCTCATCTGGTCTGGAGGAGAACGCCTCTCTGTAAAAAGTCAACACTTGAATACAATGTAAAGGGGGTAAAGTTAAAACCAGTGCAAAAACTCACTCCTCTTCCTCATCTGTATTGAACAGGTTGACTCGAAAGCCGCTGTCTGCATTCCCTCCTCGGTGAACTTCCAACCCACCCATTAAACTCGACAGCAGGTTCAGTTCCTCTTTGGCCAAAGGGTTCGGGACAGCGCTGACCTTTACGCACAAAATGGTTCAAGTACTTTGCACAAACAAGGAAGAAAAATCCACACACAATTGAATTCATACCTTCTGATGTTGGGCTGAGTTCTTTGAGGTTCCAGACAAATGTGTTTCAACAGGACGACACACACTATACCTGAACAACAACCGTCCATACATGTGTTACTAGACAATACAAGCAATAACATACAATTTTTTTTAGTACAGCGCCTTAATAACGTGTTAAACTTACATATTTGTGCCTAATTTGGTGACGCGTTCTCCAAAGATTTCAAAAGAGCCTTCTCGTAGTGCTGACGTATAGTTCCCGCCGTTGTTGAACTGCAACCTGGTTACCTCATCGCCCGCGCAACTGAATATCCTGTGAAGGAAATGACGATAATGTAATTTTGTTTACCTGCAATAATGAAGCCATAATTATGTCAAAGCACATTCGTCATCACGGGAATGTATTTCGTTTCGTGCTGGTCAAAGGCACTTTTTGGTTTCGTTCGATTTCTAAAGAGTTTATTTAAATGTGTAATATACAAGTCCAGACCACAAATTAAAATTAGAATACATGCACTTGCTACCTTCCATCTACTTCTTTATCTGGTAAACAAAACTTAAGGCATCTCCAAAACAACACATAGTAGAAGCCAGAAATTTGTGAATGTTTCCAGTGTGAGATCAATAAAGTCTATCTTATCTAATGTTGTTTCGTGTATTGTTTATTTCTCTGGGACAGTGCATAAAGAACACCTCACAGTCGCACTCACAAAGACAAACATTTTTGTTCTGTTTGGGGTTGTACTTTTGTGCCTTTCTTTTATTTTTATTATTCATTTTGTTTTTGTTGTTTTCTGTTGTGTTTGTCAGTTTTGTTGTCTTTAATAAAAATAGAAAAAACACTAATTCAGCTTGAACTATTGTTTTTAGTGGCTTTTGCAAACTACAGAAACTATTTAGTGGGTCAAACCAAAGTCGAGGATTAGGCCAAACATGAATACAATTAAAATTAAATTAAATCAAAATTTAAATAAACTTTAATACTTTGTTATGTAGTATAAAAAGCACTGTCCATTTTCGCCATATTAACAGTAATCATATAAAGTCCTACTGAGATTTCAGAATTTTATTTTTGGAAGAGTCCTGGCCCCAGACTGTGGGCATGAGTGGGGATGAGGAGGGTGCAACAGGGGGACTATTGTACATGTTATTAGTGGAAGGGAAACCGGAGCACCTGGAGGAAACCTACACAGACACAGAGAGAACATGCAAACTCCACACAAAAAGGCCTCGTATGGCTCAGGACTCAAACTATCTCCCTTAATATACAGTAATATGTAAAAAAAATGACATGTGATCTCCTTTCCTGCTGTGACCCGCCCTGCTCCACCCGGCGGCTACACCACCTCTCTTGCTATGACCCGTCCTGCTCCACCCAGCGGCTACACCCCCTCTGCTGCTGTGACCCGTCCTGCTCCACCCAGAGGCTACACCCCCTCTGCTGCTGTGACCCGTCCTGCTCCACCCAGAGGCTACACCCCCTCTGCTGCTGTGACCCGTCCTGCTCCACCCAGCGGCTACACCCCCTCTGCTGCTGTGACCCGTCCTGCTTCACCCAGAGGGTACTCAACCTCTGCTGCTGTGAATTAAAGTGCTGTTCCATTTTGATTCTATTGTTAGCTACTTTTAGAAGTATCTATTTGTTTTGTTTGTATAGAGCAGTGTCTCCCAAAGTGGGGTCCGCGGCCCCCTGATGGGCCGCGAGGGTACTGCAGGGGGGCCGCGGGAGGTCATAAAAAAAATAAAAAAAATAATATAATTATTTAATGTTAAATTTATAATGTTTTTTTTGTAATATTAAAATATTTGTGTTCATTATTTGACTTGAATAATCCACTGTAATCATTTTTGTATTACAATGTTTGTAGCAGAGGCTATTTCCCCAAAATAAAATAACCAGAAGAGCCTATTCTTAATGTTGTCTTCTTGGTTATTATTTTGGGGGGCCACGCAGACCCGTCAGATTTTTAAGGGGGCCTCGGTGTTACTGAGTTTGGGAATGGCTGGTATAGAGGATGTCTGAACGTCTCCTACCAGGATCAATAAAATATCTATCTATTCATCCACAGAATTTCACTGATTTGGTGATTAAAGATAACATTGTACCTGATCAAACCGGGCACCTGAGCTCCATTGGGCACAGGGCCACTCGTGGAAAGTACAAAGCGACCGTTTGAGTTCTGCACTTTATCTTTAAGAAAAATGGAGACCTGGGAAAACAGAGAGACTCGATGTGAAGATCTTAAAACACACACACAAACTACAGTCGAAAATAAAGTAACTTGCAAACTCACTCGTATGTGCATGTCCTGAAAAAATGTGAGAAGAGTTTGTCGGATGAGCTGGAATTCCCCACTCGACAAAGAGCTATACATCTGGAAGAGATTTAGATTCTGTCAGTCGTATGTTTTAGAAGAGACAGTTGTTTTGTTCCTTAACTAAACCGTCGTCACCTCGATAAGCTGTCGAAATGTCTCATCCACCTGACTGAGAATACTTGGGCTGTCGTTTACAAAGTCCTTGATGGCGTCCATGTGGTTAAAGGAAACGAGAAGAATGTCTTTGGGTCGCGAACACAGCAGCACCTGGTACTTGAAGGCCATGGTCATCAGGTCATACAACTGTGAGAGAGGGAAAACATTACTTATATTATAAATAATAACAACAATAATAGTAATAATAATAATAAAGGTGTTTCACATGGGATTATTCATTCACTCCACACACAGCTGCCCTGGGACAGACTGTCACACACCAGACTCATAAGAAGGTTTGGCACTTTACAGCCAGTCATGCCGTTTCACCTGATATTCCCATAGGTCTCCCATTATAGTGGTTACCAGGTACTGCCCTGCTTAGTAGTAGTAAGTAGTAGGTAATCTTTATTTATATACCGCCTTTTCACTGCACATCGGAGTCTCAAAGCGGTTTACAATTGTTATTTTTTGGGAGTGGGGGTGCCAGTACAGGAGGCACATGCCAGACCTATTGTACATATTTTTAGTGGTAGGGGAAACCGGAGCACCCGGAGGAAACCTACGCAGACACGGGGAGAACATGCAAACTCCACTCAGAAAGGCCCTGGTCCAACCGGGATTTGAACCCAGGACCTTCTTGCTGAGAGGCGAGAGTGCTATCCACTCAGCCACCGTGCCGCCCTTAGAAGAAGAAGATAGTCCTTTGTTCGTCCCACAAAGGGGAAATTTCAGTTTGATGCCTACACACATACACACATCAAGGCAAGCAGCGAACATCACTTCCGCGCTCCTTATAGGCAAAGTGGGTTAAGTGTCTTGCCCATATCAGTGGGAGTCAGTGGAGAAGGTCTCATGTTGGGCTCGAACCCATGACCTTCAGGCTCTAAGGCCAATGCTCTACCAACTGAGCCACTGTCGCCCCCAAACCAATATTACAGAAACAAGGCTATAGTTTTATTCTATGTGCGGTCAATCAATGCAGTAATGTAGAAATGTTCTAAAACTGTAAACATTTTCAAATTTCATTATTCAGATGTTTTGTAATATACAGTAAGTAAATACAGTATTACTCCTATGAACACCAACTTAACCCTTTAATGGTCACTCCTTGAAGAAAGGAAGAAATGTTGTGGATTTTCTAAGATGTAGGAATCCATAAAACACAAATAATTCAGTTTTATTTATCATGTATTTGTCAGAACCCATAGTTTTTTTTATTATTATTATAGGCCTCTTCAAAATGGTTGAGATGCAGATTGACGGTAAAATTGCCTAAAACCAAGCGATAGAGATGCCCCCAATGAGGCAGAGTTCAGTCTCAAGCTTTAAGTAGATGAAGTGACTCAAAAGGTTATCCGCCAAATGGTCGAGGAAACCATTGAAGAAGTGCGTGGGAAGGTTTAGCATTTAGTCACCTGTTTCCAACAATAGACGTGAGAAATTTTAGACTTGTTTCTTTTATACTTGCTAGAGATTTTGTTTTATTTTAATTAGTATTGTTATTGTTCACTTATCTTGTGCTATGTGCTCCTCATCCCTACTGTTCTATAACTTGTGATGCAACATTGAAAAAAATAAAAATAAATAAAGAATCACTTAATCTTAATAGTAAAGTATACATATATATGACACCTAATTGTGTTAAATTAATTATTAAATTTAAACAGATATTTACGATGGACTGGAAGGATTCTACTTCAGCATTACAGCCTTTCTGACCTGTCACCTTTCGGCCTAGCATGCTAACACCAGACATCACAAAGAGAAGCATGTGTAATCCCATCCTAACCTAGAACATGCTGTGGGATTATTTATTGTAGTTGATTAAGTTCCTTGATGGATCACCTTGTCCATACTGGCTTGGTTCAGTCTCATGATGGATGCGTGGGCCAGCCGGTCGAACACTGTGCGCAGGGCCTTTTTGGAGTAGAGCTCTTGTGGTTTAAAAAGCTCCTCCAGGAACTTTTTGTTGAACATTGTGCTGATGATGTCATTCATAACTGTCCAGAGGCACAGACACAAGTGGAAGACACATGGTAGGTTAGGGGAGTCAGTCACTGTCATGTGAGATTATTTAGCCAAAAGAAACAACGCAAATAAATCTGCAAACACCAAAGCAGCTAAAAACTAAAAACGTAATTATGTCCCCAGCTAAACAAGCGCTAAAAATCACAAACAAGGAAGTTAAGACACTAAATGACTACAGTGAGTATTGAGAAGCTGATTGCACTACTTTTAGTCTCAGGGCTCTATGACAAAAGAAGCAGCTGTATATGTTGTAGGTTAAGTTGTCAGTACCTCTCTTTCTGTCCTTGTCTATCCAGCCAGCTACAGTGAAGACTTTCAGTGAATATTCATGATAAAGTATTATAGAAATAGTGTCAAATTATAACAACGTTAAGTGACAGTATTTTCCATGTGGGAGCTGACATTACATTCCATAAACACTGGATAGACACTGTCATTAGCTTGGCTGGCGCCACCTAGTGTCCCAGCTCAGGTCCTTATCTCTGCAGCTTCTGCAGCATCAGGCTCCATGTTAATACCATAGACTGTAAATATACAGTCTATGGTTACAGCCAGGGATTCAGAATGATGGGCAGGCATCTGTGCAATGACAACACTTCTCCTTCAGTTTTGTTTTTATTTTATATCATATTCTTGACTAAAAATAAACATCAAAAACATAATTTTACTATGGTCTTTTATTGTGTACACATTCCATATGTAACGTACTGGGTCTTTTAGCCAGTGTAGATAAAGCTGTATATACAATATTATTGAATTCGATCATTGTTATTCATTTAAAACTGGTGGAAACTTAAGAGAGACACATTACAATAAACATTTATTGGTATTTTCTGAACAGACAAAACGCAGACTTGACCTATAACCAAACCATGCAGCGTCACGCCGTCTGCAAAGCTTTGACTAGCCTTAACTAGCTTGGCTAGCTTAACCTAGTTAACCATTAGCGGTTGCTAATGTTAACGGTGATCAGAACGCTGTTTTGACTTAGTTAGCTAGCTTAGATGCTAACACAGTTAGCTGATAGACTTACCTTTCTTCGCTTTGTCGACGGGGATATTCTGCGCCCGAAGTCGTTGGTCCAGAATATACAACATCTCTCCACCGAGATTGATAAAAAGCAGAGGCAGAGTCCGTGTCGACATTGTGAGACCGTAAAAGACTCAGGATTCTCAGCTGAGTATGAGCCACAGAAGCTAACGCTAGCTCAGATGTTACTGTTGTCAAAGCCTCTTCCGGAGTTTCCGTTGCTAGGTCACGGAACGCTCAACCAATCAGAAGCCAGAGATCAGCGACACGAACATGTGCAAGAACGTGGGTCTATCTTTATTCATATTTCATAAACATTATTATTGTTGGATCACTGGTAGATCCATAATGAATATAGATTGTATTAGACTTCTGTGGGTTATACATCAAATATATACACATACATATCTATCACGGAAAACAGACCACTTGTAAATCAACTGTCAATAATAATAATATTAAATTAGACAAATTCTCCATGATATAGATTGATAATGTTCCCATGTGAGGCTTTAACATTTCATTTCCATTGAATTCTGCAGGTGACACACCAACATCAGGAACACAAGCAATGTGTTTTTAGAAAATATTTATTTACAACAAAAGAACCTTGGACACTTTGAATATCGAGGGGGGAAAAGTAAAAGCAAAGAGAGTGCTCATCACAGCTAAATCTTCAGTCTTATCTGCTCGCGTCTACTTCTCCATTTCTGATGCGAACTTCTCTTGCCATTCTGCAGCTTTCACAAATTCCACAGAAAAACGTCATTAAGGCATCATTACATATCGATCCCTGTGGAAAGAAAGTTACACTCATTATAGAGACCAATCCACGTTTCTCCAATTCAACATTTGTTCCATTTTCTGAGTCATGAAGCTGTAAAAATGGAAACCCACCTGAATACCATAAGTGAGCCTCATGTGGGTCCGGATTGCAGTCATTCCACCGGGTAAGATGCCAAGGCAGCAACTCTCCCCATATTTATTAGCAGTGTAGCAGTGTAGACAAGGTCCACAGAAGAACCCCAACAAGCCTGACATGGAAATATCATATCATATAATACAAGCAACCTCAGAATCAAAGGAAGAGCAACATTACAGAGATGTGGCATAATATTTTCATTCAGTACTTTTAAACCTGTTCTATCTAAGATCAGGTTAATTGACTAAAAGAAAAGCCCAGTTTGATGCCTGGTTTAGAAATGGTATTACACATTAGGCCAGATAAAATGTTAACTAATAATAATAATACATTGCATTTATATGGCGCTTATCTGGGCACTCAAGGCACAAAAGGTACAAAGTTAAAAGCAAAAATCTGTTAAAAGCAGTCGAAAATGAAGATGTGTTTTTTGTGCTTACTGGAAATGTGGGAGAACTAATATATATTATTAAAGCTAAAAATGTCTTCCTGTTAAAAGTACAGTAGAAAATGTAACTCCCCAGAAGTGTATTTCATTACAAAACACCCTCGGGGAGCATAGTGGGGGAACAAAAGGGGAAAAATAAAATAAAATGTGTTTTGTTATGCTGTATGTACTGTATGAAGTAATGAAGATGACACAGTAAAGTACTACAAAAATACAATGCAGATTTAAAGTACTTGAAAACAGTTTTACAGTGAATCATTCTTTACAGCTGTATAGACTCACAGATGGGAATATCACTGCAGCATGCGCACAGCTGGGTGCTCCACTGTCCGGTCTGTACATTTGTGCCAAAGCCTCCGGCGCCCGGCTGATGACTTATCACTGGGTTCGACATCGAGTTGGGACGTGATCTTGGCACAGAAATCCCTGCAAGAGGAAGGGTAAGAATGCAAGTTTACGGTTAGGGTTAAGTTGCAGGTAAAGCACGAGTCCTATAGGTCTTTAATGAGTGAAAAGGGCTGCAAAAGTGGCCAAAACACCAACAATATTAATGTTTTGAAAGAGAAGAACATTTAAATAAGCTTGTACTGCTTTAGTGCTAGCTTCTTTACATGTATGTGTCTTATTGAAATGAATTTAAAAGCATTGAACACTGCAAAAATGATTAAAAATAAGTCTAAAAGTGCTCAAAGTTTGCAAAAATTGATCTTAATTGTTTGCATGTTTTGAGTTAAAACAAGATTTGTCACTGGGACAAGCCAAAAAGATCTAGTTTAAAAAAAAAGATGGAATGAGAATCTAATCTGCAAATCTTGTTTTAAGACAGAATGGAGTCAAACTAAGATTAAAAACCTCTCAATTCAAGCCAATGACTTCACACTTCATCGCTTTTTGCAGTGACGATACGAAGACAAACTGATCTTTTAAAATTTTTCACCTACAATACTGATTATGAATGTATTTGACTAACGCATGTGCCTTGACGTACCTGGAGTCGGATGCTGTGCTCGCTCGCCGCACAAACGCACATCTGAAACACACAGGAAACTCTGCAACTGCTCTAAACGTCCTGTGACTGCAATCTACGCACACCGCGAAGATTCACACTGACTGCAGCGCGGCTTTACCACAAATACACACATCCTGATCATGTACCCAGAGATGAGAGGCCTGGCTGGATTAGAATCTCACAATATATCCCTTTTACTGCGTAGATGAGCTGTCGAATCTAGCACAAAAGAAATAAGTGGTGTGCTTTTCATGTTTTTAATTAGCTGTAGAATCTAAATTGTGTTTTTAATGAGCTGTGTGATTTAAATTGTGTATTCAATGGTGATTTTGGTGTTTGTTGTATGTGATGATTTGTGCTTTGTGTGGGGTGTAATCTACGAATGAAGATGGATTGATTGAATATGTCTCTTGTCCTCTGCAGTCAGGCAGCTCTCAGTAAAAATAGAAACGTTTGGAGATTGTAAGATTGTACAGTGACTCAAATTAAAGCTGGGATTAAAGCTAGGACGCCTAAGTTTAAAATCATGAAAAAAACTGCATTAAAACCCATGGAACTATTTCCTCAGACTGAAAACAGTTTGGTTCCATTACTACGGAAGCTTGTTAGGTTCACTTGTGAGTGTGTTTTCCGCTGGTATCATGTTATTTCAAGATCATTTCATGTTCGTACAAGATAAATATCATGTTATTTCATGATACCAATTTATCATGAAATATTTCCAAATATTCATCATTTCAAATCAAGATATAAAAAAATGGTATGGTCAAAGTACCAGGAGGAGGAAATGGGACTTGATTGCTAAAGGGTGTTACATAAAAATAATACCATTACTGGTATTATTATTGTTATTATTATTGTAAGAGGATATAATAGTTAATTTAGTAAATAAGAAATAATTAGGTGAATATATTGTATTAGTAATATCTTACATTAACTATACTGTATGTCTTGACTGTATTTTTGTTTTGTATTTTTGTTTTGCTGGCTTCTTTCTTTATTTTTTCTTGTCTTTATTTTTATTAATCATAGCTATTTAAAATGTATTGTGTCTTGTATTGATTAGGAGGGGTAATTGTTATTGCCATTGTTATTACTATTGCTGTTGTGTTATCAGCATTATTTTAACAGCCCAGGATAAATACCTAACAATTTATATATTACTCTTAGAATCAAATTTAAGCGATCCAGACAGCGGTATTGCTATTGATGCTGATGGTAATATAAAGTAATTAAAGTCTTACAATTAAAACATGCACATATCCACGTACTCTGCATTCAACATAACTCGTAGTACAACATGTACAGACATGTGGGGGCTGGCTGCTCGAGGAAAGCCTCTTCTGGCAGCAGACTCCTAAAACTTGTCTCTTTTAATGCACAGTTTAGGACACTTAATAAATGAAGGTCCTGTTGCTCGGGGGCTGCTCCCCTCTGGCAGCAGAACCAGACACAAGAAAGAAAAAAGAAAAGCCCCGAGTCCTTTTTAACACACATTAAGACTACTCTTGTTATCATGAGCACCAATCAGTCTGCGATCATTGTGCCTTTCATGAATAAATGTGGAGTATGTTATGTATCATTCAAACACTTTGATATAGACTAATGTTATATGGGCTGTGATGATAATGATTATGGTGAATAACAGTAATACCAACATGGTAATAAAATGGGTATAGGAAACAAAATTATAAACTTGTTATAAAGTGTAACATACTATGAATGTTGACTTAATCTGTAAATATGTAACCAATTTAATTGTTTTGTAAGATACTAAGAACTAAACATTGTTACTGTTGCAACCACATTATTATTTAAGTTTACGAACAGGGGTAGGAGTCAATAAGCTTGTCTTCTTCCCACTCCTTTTCGAGCTAGAATGTTAATTATTTTCTTTTATTTTTTCTGGCTTTTGTGCCTGTGTTGCGTGTTGTGTAGCTCAAAATAAAAAAAAAATCAATCAATCAATTTCAGGATTGTAAACAATGAAATAAAAAGAAGCATACAGTTGATTTCATGTTGTTACAGAGCTAACATGCACGGCTTCAGTCTGCTGCTGTTCACACAGTTTAGCATTATGTATTAACAATCAAATTATTTCCTATTATTATTATGACCTTATTTGGTCCTAATTTAAGGCCAACAAATACAGTTTAGCCTTTAGCTTGACCATCATGGGAAATGAAAAGCTAGGCTGACAAGCCTCACCGAGCTAAATATGTAATTATGGTGATTACTGACTCGATCTTCCTGCCTCTGATTCCTCTGACAACCCTCGCTGCTGCAGAAAGATGCAAAGCGGGTCCTTTGCCTGATCCATTCCACATTCCTGGCATAGGTCTGGCCATAGACTGTAAATATTAAAAGGTCTGACGTCTACAGCTTCTTCTTCTGTTTCTACAGTATCTTGATATTTCATGATAAATTGGTATCATAAAATAACATGATAGTTGTATATCATGAAATACTGTAACATGATATTTATCTTGTAAAAACATGATATTTATCTTGAAATAACATGATACCAGCGGAAAAAAAACCACACTCACAAGTGAACCTAACAAGCTTCCGTACATTGCTACACTGCAAAAAGTGATGAAAAATAAATTAAAAATTCTCAAATTTGGCCAAATGTCTCTTAATTTTAGCACATTCTGACTGAGCCTTAAAACAAGAATTGCCAATGGGACATAACAAAATGTTCTTGAAATTAGACTAAATGGCTTTGTCTCATTAGAGAATCTAGTTTTAACACATGTGTCAGATTAAGATCAAAAACCACTTGATCGAAGCATGTATTACCTCATATTACAGTGCCTTGCGAAAGTATTCGGCCCCCTTGAACCTTTCAACATTTTGCCATATTTCAGGCTTCAAACATAAAGATATAAAATTTTAATTTTTTGTCATGAATCAACAAGTGGGACACAATCGTGAAGTGGAACGAAATTTATTGGATAATTTAAACTTTTTTAACAAATAAAAAACTGAAAAGTGGGGCGTGCAATATTATTCGGCCCCTTTACTTTCAGTGCAGCAAACTCAGTCCAGAAGTTCAGTGAGGATCTTTGAATGATCCAATGTTGTCCTAAATGACTGATGATGATAAATAGAATGCACCTGTGTGTAATCAAGTCTCCGTATAAATGCACCTGCTCTTTGATAGTCTCAAGGTTCTGTTTAAAGCGCAGAGAGAACCATGAAGACAAAGGAACACACCAGGCAGGTCCGAGATACTGTTGTGGAGAAGTTTAAAGCCGGATTTGGATACAAAAAGATTTCCCAAGCTTTAAACATCTCAAGGAGCACTGTGCAAGCAATTATATTGAAATGGAAGGAGTATCAGACCACTGCAAATCTACCAAGACCCTGCCGTCCCTCCAAACTGTCATCTCAAACAAGGAGAAGACTGATCATAGATGCAGCCAAGAGGCCCATGATCACTCTGGATGAACTGCAGTTGATTACACACAGGTGCATTCTATTTATCATCATCAGTCATTTAGGACAACATTGGATCATTCAAAGATCCTCACTGAACTTCTGGAGTGAGTTTGCTGCACTGAAAGTAAAGGGGCCGAATAATATTGCACGCCCCACTTTTCAGTTTTTTATTTGTTAAAAAAGTTTAAATTATCCAACAAATTTGATTCCACTTCACAATTGTGTCCCACTTGTTGTTGATTCATGACAAAAAATTTAAATTTTATATCTTTATGTTTGAAGCCTGAAATGTGGCAAAATGTTGAAAGGTTCAAGGGGACCGAATACTTTCGCAAGGCACTGTATATCACTTTAGGCAGTGTAGCTTTAACATATATGAATTTCTGGCTTCTATCACAGTTTTAAATCAGCTTTTTCCAGACAGAGAAGTGAAAAAGGAGAATTAAAATAATGCATTTTTAAAGGGGAATTCAAGGTATATAGGAGGATTTTCTACTTCCGGCTGGATCATCAAGACTATTGGTCCTTTCAATTGTAAGTAAGAACTCTTTATTATATAAATAAAGATTACTTACTTACTTGATTACTTTCAAAACTGTGAATTAACTCATGTGAATTATGTACATACTAAAAAAAAGTATGATTATATGTCTTATATTCTCGGTTCTTCAAAGTAGCACCTTTTGCTCTGATTACTGCTTCACTCTTGGCATTCTCTTGATGCTTAGCACTTGTTGCCTACCCCTTCACTCTGTGGTCCAGCCCCAAAACCATCTGGATTGGGTTCAGGTCCAGACTGTGGAGGTCATCTGGCCCAGCACCACCACTCTCCTTATTGGTCAAACAGCCCTTACACAGCCTGGTGTAAATCTACAGTCAATAGTCAAGAAAAGAAAAGACACTCAATGAATGAGAAAGTGTGTCCAAACTTATGGTCTGTACTGTATGTAGCAACACTTTATTTTTGGTTGGAACCTATGGTGACTTTTGAAAGGCCTGAAATGTATGAATAATAATAATAAATAAAAAAAACTAGCATCCTTGTTTAAAGCTGGTTTAAGACATCATCACATTTGACTGTAGTTATTGTGAAACATGGGAATGGAAACAATCTCATTCAAGAACAGGACGTACTTTTATTTTGTTGTGAAATAGGGACTTAACAGAAGAGGAGCATTCGTGAAGAGACTTAGCCCTTAAAACACGTGAAGAGGGAAGTTCAAAAAGTTCGTTTGACGGCGAACTTCACAAGTCTTCAAGTGTTCACCACAGTCGTTTTGGGCGTGTCTCGGTTTTGCCTCATCTTCAATTTCTCTTCTCTTTTTCTCTTCTGCACTTCTTTAAAGACCTGGGAGAAGACACAAGACAGAGACAGTGTGAAATGACAAGACCTCTTTATGAATACACACTTAAAAAAGGTAATTAAAAGGTATGTAGGAGGATTTTCTACTCCCAGGTGGATCTGCAAGACTATTGGTCTTCCTAATTGTCAATCATTCTGGGGATAAGTGATCGTCCAATAAGACCAGAGAGGGCGGTTCCTTCCAAAAATGTGGGATAATCCTCCTATTAAACCTTTAAAGATGCAGTCAGTGATTTGTTTCCAGACACATTTATTTGAAATATTGTGGGAAAAAGCCCTAAACCCTAAAAGTAGTCAAGTTATCATGTGTTTTCAAATAGTAATGGAATTGACCAGATGTTATAGTCTCCAAAAATGAATACAACATATTTTGGAGTGGACCGATAAAAATAAACCAATGGGATTGCTTCATCCCCAACGAACCAATGGGATGCGTTTACCCCCTTCACCCTCTTCCCGTTTTGCGCGAGTGCACCTGAGTTATCGGTCGCACTAGATCATATACGGAATCGGGACGGAAGCGGAAGTAAATATAAACTACGTATTCATGCCTAAACTTAACCAGCCATTCCCATAAAATAACCCCAACCCACCTTAACCCTAACCTTAACCATCTTACTCAGACCACCTTAACCCTAACCTTAACTAACCTTAACCCTAACCTTAACTAACCTTAACCATCTTACTCAGACCACCTTAACCCTAACCTTAACCATCTTACTCAGACCACCTTAACCCTAACCTTAACTAACCTTAACCCTAACCTTAACTAACCTTAACCATCTTACTCAGACCACCTTAACCCTAACCTTAACTAACCTTAACCCTAACCTTAACTAACCTTAACCATCTTACTCAGACCACCTTAACCCTAACCTTAACCATCTTACTCAGACCACCTTAACCCTAACCTTAACTAACCTTAACCCTAACCTTAACTAACCTTAACCATCTTACTCAGACCACCTTAACCCTACCCTTAACTAACCTTAACCCTAACCTTAACTAACCTTAACCATCTTACTCAGACCACCTTAACCATCTTACTCAGACACCTAAAACGTAACCAGTCACCATTTAAGGACTTAGTCTAAAAGTAATTCGAAAGTAGGATTACGGTTTCGTCCCGATTCCGTATAGGATGTAGTAGATTTCACGTTTGCTCCACTCTCCCTGTTGTGACAAAGACAAGAAAATTCTGGATGTTTTGTTTGACGGGGAGGGGAGGGGGGAGTGGTTTCCAGTTGGTGCTACGGGTAAGCTAACAAAATTGCTTACTACACCTTTAACTCTAGGACTCCCAGAGACTATTTTTTGACTGCTCCCATTCCAACCAACAACTCCCTGCTCAGAGAATACAGCCGTAAATTAGCACTGCTGCTAAAACCTGGTTGTGTTGTTATTCTAATGTATTGTGTTGTGTTGTTATTCTAATGTATGTATTGCGTTATTATTCTAATGTATGTATTGGGTTGTTATTCTAATGGACTGTATTGTGTTGTTATTCTAATGTATGTGTTGTGTTGTTATTCTAATGTATGTGTTGTGTTGTTATTCTAATGTATGTGTTGTGTTGTTATTCTAATGTATTGTGTTGTGTTGTTATTCTAATGTATGTGTTGTGTTGTTATTCTAATGTATGTGTTGTGTTGTTATTCTAATGTATGTGTTGTGTTGTTATTCTAATGTATGTGTTGTGTTGTTATTCTAATGTATGTGTTGTGTTGTTATTCTAATGTATGTGTTGTGTTGTTATTCTAATGTATGTGTTGCGTTGTTATTCTAATGTATGTGTTGCGTTGTTATTCTAATGTATGTATTGTGTTGTTATTCTAATGGACTGTATTGTGTTGTTATTCTAATGTATGTATTGTGTTGTTATTCTAATGTATGTGTTGTGTTGTTATTCTAATGTATGTGTTGTGTTGTTATTCTACTGGACTGTATTGTGTTGTTATTCTAATGTATTGTGTTGTGTTGTTATTCTAATGTATGTGTTGTGTTGTTATTCTAATGTATGTGTTGTGTTGTTATTCTACTGGACTGTATTGTGTTGTTATTCTAATGTATGTGTTGTGTTGTTATTCTAATGTATGTATTGTGTTGTTATTCTAATGTATGTATTGTGTTGTTATTCTAATGGACTGTATTGTGTTGTTATTCTAATGGACTGTATTGTGTTGTTATTCTAATGGACTGTATTGTGTTGTTATTCTAATGGACTATATTGTACTGTTTTTTTACATGTTATTTCTGATTGTTTTGTGTAACCAGAGAGCGCAGATGGAATCGATGTGTGTAGCTATAATCTGGTGCAGACAGATCTATCTTTGAGCTTAATGTTACGGTGCACTGTCCCTTTAAAAGACACAAGCTGAGTGAGTAACTACACTTCCAAAACCAAAAACCGTCAAATTGACTGCTGTGAGACTTCTAGTTCTAACACCTCCCACTGTCTACCTTTAAACAGAAAGCCTTCTTAGCGAGCCAGCGTCGAGTGACCCGCCGGTGATACTCTGGGGGAAAGGTGTAAGTGATGCCGAGCTGCTCGCACACTTTCTCGAAGGCCTCGTAACGAAGCAGCCTCAGCTTCTTCAACATCTTCTTCCTCTTGTCCACGGCCATCAGCATGCGCCTCTTGTTCGCCTTGTCCTGCAACGCAACGATGAAAACAAAAGGATAGAGTAAAAAAATAAACACACACACACACACAATAAAGAAATCAATAAATAAGAATTTGTCTCTGGTTGTGTGACTAGTTTGTGTGTCTGAACTAACATGGAAATTTCCGACCGCAGTTTTACAAGTGTGAAGTTTGCGTGGTGTACTCAGGAAATCCTGTCACTGTTGCATGTCTCAAAAACAGAGGGTGGCACAGACAAAAATAAACTATTTATAACTATTCATATGTGTATATATTTTTATCATTAATAATAGTGGTGGGAATGAGAAGAATAATTATAATTATTCATTATTATTATAATTAATGGAAAGTTGATATTTTTTGTATTTTTGGTGTCGGTCTAATTTGTAAATTCCTTAATGGAAGAATGAGTAGAAGTTTATAAGATTATTGTTTCTGCATCCTCCTTTTTTATGGAAGTTATTTCTGTTGTGTTTATTTCTTGGTGGCTTCAGTTTCCTGTTTGTCAGGCCTTTTAAAGTTTTTAATACCACGTTTTTTAACTGGATTTAATAATGTTAATTGTATGGTGTGTGTTTTTATATCTTGTGTGCTTTTAACTGTAATTTAAAGATTTAAACTACTGGTGCCATGGCCCCTGCTTCCACATGCTCTGGACTCGTGGCCCTCAGCTCCTGTGGGGAACTGGGGGCCTAAAGAGCAGACTGACCGCAGGAGGGGGCAGGAAGAAAGACACGAGCTGCAGGAGCGTGCACTGACAGGGCAGGACGGAGCGTGCACGCAGGGGCTCGCCGTCCTGTGCACGCAGGAGCTCGCCGTCCTGTGCACGCAGGGGCTCGCCGTCCTGTGCACGCAGGAGCTCGCCGTCCTGTGCACGCAGGAGCTCGCCGTCCTGTGCACGCAGGAGCTCGCCGTCCTGTGCACGCAGGAGCTCGCCGTCCTGTGCACGCAGGAGCTCGCCGTCCTGTGCACGCAGGGGCTCGCATGGTGGCGGGGATGTGCCAGCTCTCCCTCACGCTGATGTTTTTCTGATGCTGTAAAATATTGCGTGTGCAAAGAGATTGCCTGGTATCTGTTCGCACACGCCACCATCGGCGAATGTTGAATCTTTATTTGCCGATGGTAGCTAACGTAAACATCGGCCGATACAGATGTTCAGCCGATGCATTGGTGCGTCACTAGAATTGTTACATTACCAAGAAGAAATTTAGCAAAATAAATGTATATGCTTATGTCTGTTTGTGCAACCGTATAAGGTGATGTAGGTACTGGGGGTGGGAGCTTATAATATTCTCCTTTTTGAGCTTTAAACCTTTGGCTTTAGCTTTACCGTGAGGGACTGAGCCTTTGCTGCAGCTGCCCCCTCTCTCTGGAACTCACTCCCACCTCACATCAGGAACTCTGACTCACGACAGAACTTCCAATCACCTGTTCCAAAAGGCCTACACTTTTAGATTTTTATTTTTGTTTTATTTTTCTTCTATAGGAGGATTTTCCCAAATGTTAGGAAAGAACCGAGCATGTGTCACCAGAATGATTGACAATTAGGAGCCCCAATAGTCTTCCTGTGTAAATCCAATCCATAATTATCTATTTTTTTCCTTAATGTGAACTGCAGCACTTGCCTTGGGATGTATTTGTAAATGATCTTGATAGTTGCGGATCCTTGCCGTCAGAACAGCCACTGCCAAAGCATTAGATCAGTGTAAGAATTTAGGATGTGAATAATGCGGAAACACGAGAGCTCGACTTCTGACCTCGAACCTCCTCTGAATTACGGTCGTTTTCATCCCTCTGGACCTTGGATATGAGCATCTCCTTTTTCAGCTGGAGTTTTTCTTTCTACAGATTTGAAACACCACGAAACAATGACATATGAACCGTAAAAACAGTCAAACAAACACAGACAAACTGACTTACGTGGCTCGCCAGGTCCAGGGAGATGAGCCTCTTGACGAGATCATTGGTCCTGACGACAAAAGCAGAAGAAACTTTGAGCAAAACTTTAAATATATTTGACTCTTTCTAAGATGAAGCACGTACGTCTGAGCCAGAGGGACATCTGCATAGTCCAGCTTCAACATGCTCGGTGTCAGGTCGCTCAGAAGAGTTGGGGAAGCTACACGAGAAAGGAATCCATACAATCATAATAAAATAGGAAATCATATCATACTGTGAGAGATAAGAGAGAGAGACCAGCGAGAGACCAGAGAGAGAGACCAGAGAGAGACCAGCGAGAGACCAGAGAGAAACCAGAGAGAGACCAGAGAGAGACCAGAGAGAGACCAGAGAGAAACCAGAGAGAGACCAGAGAGAGAGACCAGAGAGAGACCAGAGAGAAACCAGAGAGAGACCAGAGAGAGAGACCAGAGAGAGACCAGAGAGAGAGACCAGAGAGAGACCAGAGAGAGAGAGAGACCAGAGAGAGACCAGAGAGAGACCAGAGAGAGACCAGAGAGAGAGACCAGAGAGAGACCAAAGAGAGACCAAAGAGAGGGACCAGAGAGACCAGAGAGAGAGACCAAAGAGAGACCAGAGAGAGAGACCAGAGAGAGACCAAAGAGAGACCAAAGAGAGGGACCAGAGAGACCAGAGAGAGAGACCAAAGAGAGACAAGAGAGAGACCAGAGAGAGACCAGAGAGAGATCAGAGAGAGACTAGAGAGATCAGAGAGAGACCAGAGAGAGACCAGAGAGAGACCAGAGAGAGATCAGAGAGAGACAAGAGAGAGACCAGAGAGAGACCAGAGAGAGACAAGAGAGAGTGACCAGAGAGAGACCAGAGAGAGACAAGAGAGAGAGGAATAAATATATAGAAGATCATATCATATTGTGAGTAATGTCAATGATTCATGCATTAGTCACTACAAACCAGTGAGGGTTTTCTTTGCAGCTCGGGCATAATGTCTCACGAGTGGTTTTTCTGCAAAGCCTCCTGCAAGAAATACATAGAACCTGAGAAAACGTGCACCAGTGAAGGTTTGGTTCTGTGCCGCCGGAGTGGTTTGGTGACATCACAGTCAAAGAAAGGAGAGCTATGAGCAAGGTGAGACCACTGAGAGAGACTAGAGAAAGAGGCCAGAGAGAGACCAGAGAGAGACCAGAGAGACCAGCGAGAGAAGAGAGAGCAGAGAGAGACCAGATCAGAGAGAGACCAGAGAGAGCAGAGAGAGAGAGCAGAGAGAGCAGAGAGGGGCCAGATCAGAGAGAGACCAGAGAGAGCAGAGAGAGACCAGATCAGAGAGAGACCAGAGAGAGCAGAGAGAGAGCAAGAAAGAGAGACCAGAGAGAGCAGAGAGAGAGACCAGAGAGAGCAGAGAGAGAGACCAGAGAGACCAGAGAGACCAGAGAGAGCAGAGAGAGAGAGCAGAGAGAGACCAGAGAGAGACCAGAGAGCAGAGAGAGAGAGCAGAGAGAGAGCAGAGAGAGAGAGCAGAGAGAGAGAGCAGAGAGAGAGAGCAGAGAGAGAGACCAGAGAGAGAGAGCAGAGAGAGACCAGAGAGAGCAGAGAGAGGGCTATGAGCTTTCTGTTTTGGATTTTCTTTATGAATCCAGACTTTTGAACCGAGCTCTTAGAATAATGAATGACTCTTCTGGCCTCAGGAAAAGCCCTGTTCCAGCTTCTTCCCTCTGGCAGAAGATATCGTTTGTTGAGATGCAGGACATCTCTTTTTGCAGCTTATTGCCACAAGCTTTTATCAGTTTAAACAGAGCACATCTTGCACTTGTATTGAAACGGTTTGAATAGTGACAATTGTATGGGTTTTATTTTTGTACTTTTAATCTTGTTTTATGTATGTACTTGTCTTGTGCACACTGTGGACTTTGGAAAATGTATTCGACTGTGGTTTTACTGCAATTGGCAAATAAAACGAATCTGCTATATTATATAAAGATAGAAATCAAACACCATTTTAACAGTGAATCTGGTGCACTCTTGTTTACCGTACGGACGGACGCATGACTGACGAGAACCTCATTATGAAAATACTACTCGATAACGTCTCTTCAGATCGAAAGACGAGTGGTTTCACAATCACCTCAAACCATCACTGAAGTCATTTCCTGTCAAAAGTAGATCACAGGTTTCAACACTTAAGCCAAAATGCGTCTCTTCGGTTGATCTTGAGAATTGCTCAATCATGATTGGAACAAAGATATTGGCCAAAGAAGTCACTACACTGGAAATATGAGCTTGTATTCACCATCAGGAACTACTTTTTCAAGAGGTAAATATGGTTTGACTTACAAACATTGCTGATCTCACATGGCATTCATCTGTGGCAATAATGTGCAATACTGTCAGAATGTGCAATATGAGACAGTGTGTCGCTTTAATATTAGCCTGCTGCTAACATGTACAGAAGTTTCATCATTGGGAATATTAGAACCTGCTGAGCTAACAACATTATCATAAAGATTACTTTTATATTCTTGCACAAGAGTGCATTAATAACTCTCACTCATGTCTGCTGTCGTTGTGTCCTTGAGCCAGACTTTGAGCCAGAACCCCACTTTGCCTGAAGCCCCGCTGAAAGATCAAGGCTGTGCTCTCACTGACAGAGCAGCCTCCTGTGGACTCACCCCCTGCAGGAGGATCAGTGAGGGGCTGCTGCTCTGTGGACTCACCCCCTGCAGGAGGATCAGTGAGGGGCTGCTGCTCTGTGGACTCACCCCCTGCAGGAGGATCAGTGAGGGGCTGCTGCTCTGTGGACTCACCCCCTGCAGGAGGATCAGTGAGGGGCTGCTGCTCTGTGGACTCACCCCCTGCAGGAGGGTCAGTGAGGGGCTGCTGCTCTGTGGACTCACCCCCTGCAGGAGGATCAGTGAGGGGCTGCTGCTCTGTGGACTCACCCCCTGCAGGAGGATCAGTGAGGGGCTGCTGCTCTGTGGACTCACCCCCTGCAGGAGGATCAGTGAGGGGCTGCTGCTCTGTGGACTCACCCCCTGCAGGAGGATCAGTGAGGGGCTGCTGCTCTGTGGACTCACCCCCTGCAGGAGGGTCAGTGAGGGGCTGCTGCTCTGTGGACTGGGTGCAGATCTAACAGCCACCCCCTAACCCAGAAATGGATTAAAAACAAGCATTCATAATCCCGGCCGGACCAGGGCCTTTCTGAGTGGAGTTTGCATGTTCTCCCTGTGTCTGCGTAGGTTTCCTCCACCACTAAAAATATGTACAATAGGTCTGGCATGCGCCTCCTGTTCGGCGACCCCGCTCCCATCTCTGTCTGGAGTGAGAGACAAGTGCCCAAAAAATAACAATTGTAAACCGCTTTGAGACTCTGGTCTGTGAAAGGCGGTATATAAATAAAGATTACTTACTTACTTACTCATAATAAACTGCATTGCTTATACAAATAAGTATATATATTTATTTGCGCTAGAGTACGTAGGTTAAGGTTTATACTTTGTTTATCTTTGAGTCTTCACTTGCTGTGAGATCTAATCTCCCTCAGGAATAATAAAAAAAGTATATTTTTATAAGTCCTACTGCTCTGTAACTTGTGAAACAACACTGAAAGTTCCCCACTGTGGGATGAATAAAGGGCATGTGTTTGTATTATAATAGCTCATTATTATGTTATAGTTTTAATAAACAATAAGGTCTTATTCAATGCTCAGATGTTACTTAGTACATGTTTATAGAAGTATAATAAAAATGGTACAGACTTTTCAGTAAACAGTCACCGCACCACAGAAGGATGACATAATAATAATAACAGCAGCAACAGTAACACAAACATATACATATCATAAATATTATTATTATTATTCACATTTACGGACCTGTCTTAAGGTTGGATCCCGTCGCCGTCGCTGCAGACGCGAGAGACGGACACAGAGACGGACAGACCCCGCTCCGGTCCCGGATCATAGATCCAGAGGACCGCAGGACACTCCTCAGGGCCATGTTCGTGAACATGACGCAGATATGTTTGGACTCTTTAAAGAGAACGATCTAAAAGTCGTTTTCCGTGAAAATACAAACACGACCCCTACCGGAGAGACGCCATCTTGAGCAGACCAAAGCAATGGATCACAGAGCGCCGAGGTGAATCTAGTGTGAACAGTCGATCCCAGAAAACACTGATTTACTGTTTTATAAACCAGGGGGTTTTGTATCCTGTTTGTTGTTTTATTTTTTGAATATTTTTTATGACCACTTAGCTGTATAGTATATCATAAAGTAAGTATAAAAGATAATATATTTGAAATAATATCCAACGCCTAAGGCAGCATGGTAAAAACACTCATGATTTCACTTTCTATACAACGACCTAGGGTTCTCTTTATAAACTGTAACACATTTCTATTCATGTTTCTGCTACAAACCTGCCAAACAGTTGATGATACACTGTTCTGAATCACTGAGTAAAAAATGCCACAAACACTACTTTGTAATAAAAACGCATTTATTTCAACAAAACATTTAATAGAAATGCAATGAAATACGAACAATTTTGAAATAACCACTTGTTCATAAAAATGTTAAATTTTATTTCTTCGGACTAGATTTCAGAGTATATTCATATCAGATCAGGAATCTCCAAAGCTCTCAGGAAAGGAAACTGATTCCACCCCAGATCTGTCTCCGGCTCGGTCTCCTCTGATCCAAAGAAGCGCTGCTCGTCCTGGCTCTGGTCACAGACGTTCTGGTAGCACTTCGGGGTAAAGGCCTCCTCCGCCTCCAGCAGTGGCTGTGTGGAGTCAGAGCGCAGGTAGGTGTGGGGGGCGGAGTCACTGGGGGCTGGACTGGTGCATGGACTGATGCATGGACCGGTGCATGGACTGATGCATGGACCGGTGCAGGGACTGGTGCAGGGACAGGGGAAGATCACTGTGGCGTAGGGGACAGAGTCGTTGTTGGAGCCACAGTATCCCGGGAGGAACGGAGAGCCGCAAATAGACTCTCCGAGGTCACTGGTGTCTTCTGCTTTGTTCACCCAGCCTTCATCTTCTTCTTCTTCTTCTTCTTCTTCTTTACAGATCTTTGTCGGCAGATCCATGAAGCTTAGACGACACAGGTAAAGCAGGCTCGGTACTTTACCTGTGAAGGAAGGCGGGATTTCCTACAAGACAAAGAAAGTCACTCATTTCACTCACCAGAGAATCAAACAGTTCAGGCACAAGAAATGCAATGATAAACAAAACACATTGGTATTGGTTCATAAGGTGCAGATGACCAAAGTCTGTAATGTTAAATGGGTCAAGTAATTTACATTCACTTCAGCTATAGTGTATTTGAAACTCTGTGTTGTTAAACTAAACACATAGTAACCACCATCACCTCCAAAGAGTCCGTGGACCATTCTTTGACGCTGCTGTTGGCGGGATCAGGAATAATTGGACAGAAGTGATTCTTAAATCTGCAAGTGTAAAATAAAACTGTTGGTAAAATACACTGTAAACATGTCTATTGCGTGTTTGGATCTCACCTTTCATGACGAGAAGCAACTTGAGCAACGACTATAACGGCGATTATAAGCATTCCCATGATGCACGAGACAATAATGACAACGTAGACCACATCTAAGATAAACAAATATATACCAAAAATGTATGACATCACAGAGTAGTATATATTCATTTTTTTTCTTTGGACGACACGCACCGAAGGATTCTGTTTTGAAGTGAATTATTGACCCGTTCCGACTCCCGCCAAGTGTAGACGCCATCAAAAAGGCTTCGTAGACACACATCGGGTTGAGGTCGTGAAGAAGAACTCTCCTCTCATCAGGTTTAGCTTCTACGACTAGAAAAACACTTTTAAAAGCGTTTGATAAAGAACGCTTTGAAACAAAACAATGTGATATTGCACTTACCATTGAGAGGACCATCGCCCTCTCGGTAAAACACCCTGAAGCCTTGGATTATGCCGTTCCTTTGGTCCAGTGGGATCTCGTCCCAGGTCATCTCCACATCAAACTGCCAGGTTTTCTCAATTACCAGTTCCGGAACCATGGATGGAGCTTTGAACATATTGAGATTATTGATACATTTCATAGTCACACCTATCTCTGCCGTTGAAACTAGTGTGCCACCACTTTTGCCTTCTATGGGGTTCAAAAAGAGCTGCGAAAATTTGAAAAAACTTGACCAGCATGAGCCCCATTCATTGAACGAGTGAATTAAGTCCACAGCGGCTCAACTAGACTGGTCCAAAAAGTATACTCTCCTCGGCATCGAAACGTAGCTTTGGGCCATGACTTTTGGACCATCCTGTAAAGCCGTTTTTGAGAAGACGCCATACAAAAGCAGTGGGTAATTCTCTTTCCAGGTACACCCCACCAGACTGGAGTGAGATTGCAGCATTTCAGTGCATGTGATCATGGACCTTTTGGAGCCTCCGCTGTAACATACTAACTATAAATAATCAAGTTCACCCAATTTAAGTTTAGAAACATAAGTAATAATTATACAAGCATTAGTCTCGGTCACTCCCTCACTCACTCTGCTCGGTCAACGCTCAGAATATGTAGAATTGTGTGCTTGTAAAGAACTAATATTAATACTAAAAAGTACAAATGAATGTTGAGTATAAAAGATAAGAACTGAAGGTATGACAAATTGTGATACAGTTATTATTATTCAACACTAAATTAGTAAATCAATGAATGCATTTAAATTATGTTCATGGGGAAGGAGAGTACACGTTTTTACTTATCTCTCATTCCCAATTATAAATAGAAATACATTAGTAAACACACATTGAAATTGTAAATATACCTAGACATGGTGAAATACTGATTGATTGTACATTTATGTATATATATTTGCACAAGTACGTACTTACTGTCAGTGCTGTAGGCAACATAACAAAGTAGAAAGCTACCGTTGTAAATTAAGGAATGTAAATATTGTAAATACTGTGAATGTACAATTTCTGCTTAAATGAATGAAATCAATGAATTTGGATGGAGCCCTGTCCTGCACTTCCACATGCGTCCACAGGAGGCCAGTGTTGCACCACATATATTCCCCTGGTTCTTTGCTCGAGCTTGTATTTGAGAACACCTTGACCTCTGTCTACCTCCCAGATCCGCCCACCTTTTTGTGTGATCTCGCCCAGGTCTTTAGTGGCTTACCCTTTTGTCTCGAGAAGGCATTAGTAGTCCGAAGAAGGCCAAGGCCGTCCTTAAACCTGGGATACACAGAGATCCCATAGGGCTTGTATGGCTCAATGTCTCCTATTGATAAGAGAGGAGAGGTGAGACTGGATCAGTGCCACATAAGCTGCTAAGTGTGTAGAGAGAGGCTGATCTCGCATTAGAAAAAAGCCAGAAGAACAGCCCATACCTGATATGACGAAGCTGGTTTGATTTTTTTCTGTTGTTTGGAAATGTAGATGCACCAAGTCTGTCTGAAGTAAAGGTATCCATTCAACCACAAATCCAAGGAGGGGAGGAGTGATGTCACATGTCCACTGGACCACGAGTGATGAGGAGTCATGTGGAGTCACGGTCAAATCTGTGACAGCTGCATATTCTACACACAGAACACACTCAGTATAAAGATGAAGAGATCCATGTGTCTGACGGGATCTGGCTTTCACATGACAGTATGGCCCCAATTAATTACAAGTATGTTTTCTTAAAAATGTATACTGCAAAATGTAAAGGACAATGAGTCAAAAATTGCTCAAAGTTGGTCAAATGTATGTTAATTTGAGCACATTCTGTCTGCCTCAAAACAAGATTTGCCAATGGAGTATCTTGTTTTGTAAAATAAAATACAAGAAATGTCTCACTTGTAATGAGAAAATACAGCAAGAGCCCTTGATAAAAGACTACATGCTTTGTCCCATTGGTGAATCTTGTTTGAACACAGTCAGAATGTGCTCAAATTAAGATAAAAGCCTCATATTATAGCATTTTTTGCAGTGTAAAACATGCCACGGTCCATATTAACATTTTTCCATAAATGCTGCAAGTTAATCATAATAAGTCACATCTGGGGCACGTGTGGTTTATAACTCAAGAAATGTGCACGTGATTTACCTTTGTTGTTGTAAATGCGAATATAGGTGGGCTGCGACCTGCCGGCTCCGTTGGCGGCCCTCAGATAGACCCTGCTCTGCCACGCCGCCCAGAAAGTGCAGTGCCTGTGTACAGTCTGACACAGGAGCTGGGCCCTCTCCCCTGGCTCCTTCACCCCGTACACTACATATGACACATTCTGCCCGTTGGCTCGAAACTGTTTGGACGGCTGCAAAAACACCACATGATTTTATTTGGTATTTCTTTCATACTCAGAGACCTCTGGCTGGAGCGTACGTCTGTGACAGGTGTCAAGCAAACCGTGAGATGCGTGTATACCTTCCAAAACAAATGTACGCCGACTTGTTTGTGCGTGTGATCCCTCGACACCTTCATCCAGGAGTCGAAACGTCCAGAGGGAGCTGAAAGAACCAACAGCCTGTCAGTTTCATTGCTTGTCAAAAGGCAGCTCCTCTATTCTCCGGTCTTTAGAAAGCCAAACTTTCCCATACAAGACACTTCTATGGATTCTCTGCCTGCGAGTGTGCGGCAAAACTCAATATATCAATTCAGGCCGCGCCATCGAGCAAAGCAATGGGTGGTGTAAAACATGACATTAGCATATATTGAAAGGAGCAGGAAATGGAAGAAAAGGCAGCAGATTGGAGAGTGAGAGAACGAGAGGAGGCCTGATTGTGACACACATGCATTGATCTGAACCCACCGCTCTCCAAGGTGACTCCGCTGTGACTGCTGCTCCATTCACTCCAGGGGCTTTGACGGTATCTCACCCGCATCTGGCCCACGTAGCGCGTCCCGTGCAAGAGGCGGCACGGCTCGATTACTTTGGATGGACGCGCTCTCTTCTCAAAGATCTAAATGTGTTTCATAAAGAACGACAAAAGTTAGGTATTGATTTGCGCAAAACAAAGACATGTTTGAAAGTGTGATTAAAGCTGAGGTTTCAGGCTTTCAGACGACAAACAATTGAACGACAATGATAATAACGCATCAGCTTTGTATATAAAGCTTCTTTGGACACTCAAAGACGTACTAGTTTAGCTGCAGCTGCCCTGGGGCACACTGACGAAAGCGAGCCAACCAGTCTGTGCCATCGGGCTCTTCAACCACCACCAACCATTCACACACACACCAGACTCATTCTAATGTGGGGGAAGTGTCTTGCCTAAGGACACAACCACAGTTTGGCACTTTACAGCTGCAGCCGCCCCACTGTGGCTTCCCAGAGGTCTCCCATCACAGTGGTGACTAATAGTTGCCCTGCTTCGCTTCAGATGTCAGACAGGACCCACATGCAGGTGGCGCCACAACTAATGTAATAATATCCATAAATTATAGTTTTTGAGTAGTTTAGTTTAAATTTGTTCAATCTATTTCTCTAAAGTTTAAAAGTACTTATAATATAAAGCCTTATGTTGTGGTCTGATTAGTTCAAAACACTTTTACAAGACGCCTTCATTTGACAAACCATATGGAAACAAACAAAGACTCAAGCAAAACTAAACTAGGTCTAATCCAAGAATATTCCAAGATTAATCCAAAACTAGACCAGGACTAAACCAAGACTAGACAAGGACTAAACCAGGACTAAACCAAGACTAATCCAAGACTAAACCCAGTTAGCCAACTCATCTTTAATAATGTTAACAGCCAACTATGCAAACATAAACTCCTATTTATTAAAACATATAAATCACAATGAAACACAATAAAAGATTGTCAGGAATTACTATAACTCTGACAAATCACCAGACGATGAAAGGTCACAAAACACAAACCATTTAAAAAAGAAAATAGAAAGAATAGAGAAAAGTCCATAGAGTCTATTTCTTGACCTCGCTAAAATAGACTGTAAATATTAACAGACATAGTCACCTATCTCCGCCGATGAAACTAATGTGCCACCACTTCATGGATCTATTATAATAACTGGATAGGGTATTACTAGCTTGGAGCTGAATAACTCATGTGCTCGGGGGATTCTCGCGGTACTGCAGACTAAACCAGACGAAATTCACGTGGGCTACCCAGAAATGTTCCCCATAGAACTCAATGTAAATTAAAACAGCACGACCTCGGCTGACAGAGAACCTGACAGAGAACCTACAGCTTTCATAGAGGTCGGATTTTAGTGTCCCTTGCCCTCTGTGCACGTGCATGAGAGCCACACACGCGAATTTGGCGCAACGCATCATGGGAGTTCATCCACTGCGCAGAACCAGGAGGACCAGACGATGCCCAAATATAGGCGAGAGATATGGCGAGTTCCGCTGATATGTCAGTGACCGGGCCGGCACATGCGCCACTGACCACAAACCATTAATTCAAATGCGGCGCCATCACTCGCACACTTACACACAGGTCTCTCCTCTGTCCGTTGTCCACAGCTTCCAGCTTCACCTCCACATTCATCACATCCTTGAGCCAGGCCTCGTGTTTGGATATATTCCAGTGGATGCTCAGACAGCCGGGCTTCTTGGGCACCGGGAGCAGCTGCAGGATCTCTGGAGGGTGGAACTTAGCCGTGCTGATGGGCTCCACAACCAGAGTAGCTGATGCGGTCTTTCCCAACTCGTTCTGGGCCTCCACATAGACCTCCATGTCCGAGAACAAGACCAGGTCCGAGCGAGGGATGCGGAAGTGATGCTGCCCCGGGGGAAGCTTGTAGCAGAATCTTCTCTTTAAGTCTCTGGAATTGAACAGATGAATTGCGTTTATATCGTTGTGGATTTTAAATACAGCACACGCCTAAACAAGAACACACTTTCTTTCATCCATTTATCAACATCATCAAATTATGAAATTCTATACATAAAGCAGCAATATGTAAGATGTTCATGCCAAGTCATCATTAAAGGGCCCTAATCTGTCAAAAGGCACTGATAAACCTGATAGCAGTAGTTCAGCCGAGATCTTCCAATTCAAAGTCTGTGATCCGGGCGCCAGAACTCACTGCGTGGAGCTAATCTCACTGGTAAAGTACCATGTGGCGCAGAACTAAAAAAGGTCTCTTTATGATTCTCAAATCATTAACGACAAAACAAGGAATAAAACTAGGACTTCTATCTTTGTGAAAAAGGTGTTGGTTATAGATTTGTTGTTGACTAAACTCTTGTCTATTCAGCTGTTATGGTCCCAGCTGGATTCGTCTGCATATCTGGCAACCTGCAGTACCACTATTGGCCAGATTTGTACTTATTTCTCCTTAGTTTAATCATGAAGTGTTTTATATAACTGATTAGGTCACTGTAACCTAGTGAGTTTTTATTATTGACTTAAGTGTATTTCAGAGAGACGTGGAAGTGCTTCTTTGCCTTTTTTTCTTTGTGAAAAAGGGGACTTAAGACCAAGACATGGACGAAAACAAATATGGGCCCAAAGAGGACACCTCCAGAAGCTACTCCCCTCTGCACATTTTGAAATCATTGTTTAAGTGAATTTGTGTTAGTTGAGTTAGACGGAGCAGGGAAAGTCAGGGATGTATTAGTATTTAATTGTTTTGATAATTAAATGTTATTAATTTTAACTCCTGAATATCTTGGTCTTTCTTTCTTGTCAAAATTTTAATCGTGATACAAAACAAAAACATAAATCACAACAGTACACTGCAAAAAATGACACAAAATAAGGCAATACATGCTTGAGTCTTATTTGCGCACATTTTGACAGTCTAAAAACAAGCCAAAGTGTCTTGTTTTGAAAAGATAGAAGAAAATTAAAGAAATGTCTTTGTTGGAATCAGAAATAAATTGCAACAGCACTTTGAGTAAGATGAAACGGCTTGTTCCATGGGCAAAATATGCTCAGATTAAGACAAAAACCCTGGATTCAAGTATTTATGACCTTATTTTCTGTCATTTTTTGCAGTGTAATTATCTCAGAGGACTTAACCGCCAACACAGACCTGAGAATCAAACAAAACAACCTTAAAACCGAAGAGTGAATTGTGTGTAACGTACATGACGTGTGTATGGAGGCTGTATTTTGTGGGTAACAGGCTGCTCCTCCCTGGATCCCAGCTGCACAGCATCGAGAGGGGCTGGGTCAGGTTCGTCTGACACTGAAGGCTTTGGGGAACGGACGGTAAATCTAACAGACAAACATTCAATATTATCATATATTTGTTATAAACAAAAGAAGGTAAAAATAGAAAATGGGATTTATGTCTGTATTGGTAATGTATAGCACAGTATAGCACGAGAAACAAGAAAATAAACTTAAAAATCAGACAAAAGTATTCAAATGATAAATAATCACAAGGCATGGACAAGAGTGAAGATACAATCCTTCAGTTCTATGCACAGGAGAGAAGAGTAGAGTAGAGTAGGGTAGGGTAGGGTAGGGTAGGGTAAGGTAGAGTAGGGTAGAGTAGCGTACGGTAGGTTAGGGTAGAGTAGAATAGAGTAGCGTAGGGTAGAGTAGGGTAGAGTAGAGTAAGTAAGTAAGTTTTTATTTATATACCGCCTTTTCACTGCAGATCTGAGTCTCAAAGCGGTTTACAATTGTTAATGTTGGGCATTTGTCTCACTCCACACAGAGATGGGAGCAGGGCCAGTACAGGAGGCGCATGCCAGAACTATTGGACATATTTTTAGTGGTAGGGGAAACCGGAGCACCCGGAGGAAACCTACGCAGGGAGAACATGCAAACTCCACTCAGAAAGGCCCTGGTCCGGCCGGGATTCGAACCCAGGACCTTCTTGCTGAGAGGCGAGAGTGCTATCCACTCAGCCACCGTGCCGCCCTAGAGTAGAGTAGAGTAGAGTAGAGTAGGGTAGGGTATGGTAGGGTAGAGTAGAGTAGGGTAGAGTAGAGTAGGGTTGGGTAGAGTAGAGAAGAGTAGGGTAGAGTAGAGTAGAGTAGAGTAGAGTAGAGTAGAGTAGAATAGGGTAGGGTAGGGTAAGGTAGAGTAGGGTAGAGTAGCGTACGGTAGGGTAGGGTAGAGTAGAATAGAGTAGCGTAGGGTAGAGTAGGGTAGGGTAGGGTAGAGTAGGGTAGGCTAAGGTAGGATAGGGTAAGGTAGAGTAGGGTAGGCTAAGGTAGGGTAGAGTAGGGTAGGGTAGAGTAGAGTAGGGTAGGGTAGGGTAAGGCAGAGTAGGGTAGGCTAAGGTAGGGTAGGGTAGAGTAGGGTAGGGTAGAGTAGAGTAGAGTAGGGTAAGGTAGAGTAGGGTAGGCTAAGGTAGGGTAGAGTAGGGTAGGGTAGGGTAGGGTAGGGTAGAGTAGAGTAGGGTAGGGTAAGGTAGAGTAGGGTAGGCTAAGGTAGGGTAGGGTAGAGTAGGGTAGGGTAGGGTAGGGTAGGGTAAGGTAGAGTAGGGTAGGCTAAGGTAGGGTAGGGTAGAGTAGGGTAGGGTAGAGTAGAGTAGAGGCCTGTCTCCTCAAAGTCTGAGTTGGTTTTACTGGGGCAGTATAAGTGCATTTTGGGTCCATGTTGCTGGTTTTCAGATTCTCCCTGGCATCCACTTAAACCAGAGAGAAAAAGATCACATATATTACCAGTAGAAAAAAGAATCAAAGCTGTAGTACATTCAAACTGCTCCGACTTTAGTCCTGACTAGACCCAGGAAGTACCATCACATTACTCCTGACTAGAACCAGGAAGTACCGTCACATTAGTCCTGACTAGACCCAGGAAGTACCGTCACATTAGTCCTGACTAGACCCAGGAAGTACCGTCACATTAGTCCTGACTAGACCCAGGAAGTACCGTCACATTAGTCCTGACTAGACCCAGGAAGTACCGTCACATTAGTCCTGACTAGACCCAGGAAGTACCGTCACATTAGTCCTGACTAGACCCAGGAAGTACTGTCACATTAGTCCTGACTAGAACCAGGAAGTACCATCACATTAGTCCTGGTCTCAGGTCTCTGCACCTGTGGCTCAGAGAATAGACTTTAAAACATCTCTGTTTGTTACAAGTCTCTCCATGGCCCCAAACCAAAGAACATCTGTGACATGTTAGTGACATATGAACCAACTTTGACGACCACAGGGACTGGCCCCTTATTGGTGCCCAGAGTCAGGATTATAAATGTGAGACAAGCAAATTTCCTCTCCAGGTTAAAAACACGTCTGTTTAACTGTACATACGACTGAAGTATTGTATTTTTGTGTGTACTCTGACTATTTAAGTGGTTATTCTTGTGATTTTAATGTTTATTTTCTTGTTTTGATAACCACTTTGAGTTGCCTTGTGTATGAACTGCGCTAAACAAATAAACGTGAAAAAACAAAAGCATAAAAACTCACATCCTGCCCTGATCTGGACTCCTCCCACGATCTGCGGCGGGGAGGTCAGCACAGAGCAGGTGAGCGAGGCCATGGGGCGGCTGAAGTTGGCGATGACCACAGTGGACGTGCGGTTGCCGTCGCTGGTCACGGAGCCGTGCGGGAGAAGGGCCCCGTTCAAGTGCCACCCCATGGGGAGGGAGGGGGCGATGGGGACGGGGCAGTGCTCGGTGGTGGTGCAGGAGGCCCACACAGCTGACCCTAGGACCACCACCGAGCGGGACGCCTGCACCTCGGCACAGAGCTGCACCTCATTGTCTAAGTCAGAAAACATTTACATTCAATATTTACATTATCTGCACAGAAACCATGTTGTTTAATTGAATTTCACACAAATCATTGCATCTTTTTTTTTAACAATTAATAAACATTCTCTGCTGCTGTGACCAGAAGTGCTGTTGCCTATTATTACTATTGTTAGCTTCTTAGTTTTAAAATGATCAATTTATATATATATTTATTATTTTTTACTGTTACTGGACACTTGAATTTCTCCTACAGGGATATATGAAGTATCTATCTATCTATATCTATCAATCTATCTCTATCTATCTATCTACTGTATATCTATGTACATATGAATAGTGAGCGCCATCTGCAGGTGAAAGGCAGATTGTGTCAGACCTCAGAAGCCAAGCAGGGTAAGGCCTGATCAAAGGCAAGGTCATCCAAAGCGCTTAACAATGTCCAGAGTTCAGATACTGTTCCATTCTCTCCACACGGTAATGACAGAAGCGACACGCAGAACACACTGGTCCATCAAAGCCTCCGACCAAACACCATCCATTCACTCACTCATTACAGTCAGACCTATTGTACATGTTTTTAGTGGTAGGGGAAACTGGAGCACCTGGAGGAAATCTACGCAGCCACAGGGAGAACATGCAAACTCCACTCAGAAAGGCCCTGTTCCGCCATATGTGCTAAAATCCAGTTTCAGAGTGTTGCTATTCCTTCTTTTTTGTACATAATATAAATCTCTCTCGTCTTTCCATTGTGCAGAAAACTCGAGTACAGTCAAAATATGCAACTTTAGCTAAAAAAGAAGAAAGGGCAAACACTAAAGTATGATGAATCCTATAAACAAAAACGACCGTCCAAGCATAACCTGGCGTCGCTGCTGAGACGGTAAAACATTCCGACTCTTTTGAACTCGACGGAAAAAATCAAAGGCAGAGCAAAGCGAAGGTGTAATAACAATCGGCCGTAACTGCTGGTTAGGCATTTCCATTTAGATGTGCTTCTTTCACTCACCATTCCTCTGGCCGTTCACCGACGCCAGGAGCATGACAATCAGAGACAGCGGCGCGGATGTCATCTCGATAAACCTGCAGACGGAGAGATAGAATATCATAAAACAATCACACATTATTCTAACGTCTGGGAAGAAGTCACGGGAGAATCGCAGCGACGTGTGAATGGGTTTGTGTGGAGACAGAGACGTGCAGGTGTTCTTCAGAATACACATGTTTGATATGAAGACGTTTGACCTTATTCTATACAACATTTTACACAGTTCTCACCAGAAAATGTAACTTATACCTCCACAACAGTCACTGGTCCATGTTTGTGTGTCACAGTGACAGGTTTGATGCTAAACACTAATAATAATAATAATAATAATGCATTTGTTTTATACAGCGCTTTTCAGGACGCTTCAAATGTCATTATTCTTTCACTCCACACGCGGTGATAAATTACGACTGAAGCCACAGCTGCCCTGGAGCTCACCTGCAGCAGCGAGGCAATCAGTCTGTGCCATCAGCCCCTCCGACCACCACCAACCATTCACACACACACCACTCATTCTAATGTGGGGGACGTGTCTTGCCTAAGGACACAACAACACTTTACACTTTACAGCCGCAGCCGCCCCACTGTGGCACCTGCCGTTCCCAGGTCTCCCATCACAGTACTAACCAGGCCCTGCCCTACTTAGACTTTAGAGGTCTGACGGGATCTGGCTTTCACAGGAAAGTATGGCCATGAACACTGCTCTTGACTGTTTTGAAAGTGAGTAAAACAAATCTCAGAAGACAGAATATTGTGTATCTAATTATCCATACCTACTGTGAAGCATGGGGGTGGAAACATCATGCTTTAGGGCTGTTTTGCTGCAAAGGGACCAGGACAACTGATCCGTGAAAAGGATCAGTGCTACTTTAATTTAGAGAAAAGACAGTATGAAACACTCACCATTCCAAGTCGAAAAGCTCGGGCTGTGTTAAATAATCATCGTCAACTTTTTCCACATCAAAATGAGATCTGTGTTGGTCTTGTATCTGCAAAAAACAACATCCAAAATGTAAAAAAATAATAATCAAGTAACAGAAATTGATAGAGACATTTTATCAGGACTGGACTACAACATTTACACTGCAAAAAAAAAAAAAGTAAGTCAAAACAAGATTTTCCAATGGGACAAAGCAAAAGACTAAATGGCTTTGTCCTTTTGGTAAATCTGTTTTTAACACAGTCACAATGTGCTTCAATTAGGATAAAAACCACTCAATTCCAGCATTTATCACCTCATATTTCATCTTTTTTTTTGCACTGTGAGCTTGACCACAGACAATTTCACGTTTCGTTTTGTGTTGGTGCCAAAAACAGATTTGATATTGCTTTTAAAATAAGGACAAACCGGCAATATTGACAAAACAAGTCTGACCTTGGAGTCAAACAAGTTCCAGAGCAAACCCACACTTCCTGCTTTTTGACTGGACTCAAACTACTCTGAACGAAAACACAAAGTCCCTGGATCACAATAAAATAAACGTCAGTTGTTAGAGATCAGATTTCCATTCCCAACACTTCTAATTCCACATCCCGGCTCCGCACCGTTCCACCTCTGGGCAGAGAGAGTGTTACTTCTGGAAAATGCAAATTGCACCAAACCCCCGACAATGGCACTGCAATATATTAATAATTTGTAATTCAAAAGCGGGAGTCAAATCTCTGCCCCCGGTCCACAATAACCTGCTATTTGCTAAAGTGTTTGTTAAAGCAGAGTCAGAAATAGACTTTCTCCCAGTTTCTTATCAGCGTCGCGCATAAAGGCCTCATTCTGCCTCCAATTTCACATTTGTGTCCGCAGCTAATAAGTACAATCATTTTCAGCCGCGAGGAGGCAGTTGCTGGAGGGGGGTGAGGTGGGGGTGGATTGGGATGGTGGGGGCTGGGGGTGTGATGAGATATGATTTTTTTTTTTTTACGGGGTATTTAAAAAGCCGTTGTAATCGAAATAGCTTTTTGGGAATTGATTCTTGTGTAGAGTAGAGTTGGAAAAAAACCAGAAAAACATAGATGTGCTGCTGATGCCATATGTTTCCTCCTGGGGTTACAACACACACACACACACACACACACACACACACACACACACACACACACACACACACACACACACACACACACACACACACACACACACACACACACACACACACACACACACACACACACACACACACACACAGACAGACATTCACACACACACACACACACACACAGACATGCACACACACACACTCACGCTCTCTCAGGATTTAGCAATATCCTTTGTACTGTGTGTGCGATGACAAATTCTACTATTTCCTCTTTTTGGTTCTTTTCGCACAACATTGTTTAAAATGTCTAATCAGGAAAGCAAAATAAAAAGAGGGGATCATAGTGAAGGGAACAAATTAGAATCAGTCCGTCACAATGTAGGAATTTTCTTTGGGATATAGACGAAAGTCAAAAATAGGCAAAAAAGACCAGAAGATAGTAATGTTTTTAGCAAGTAATGAGTCATGATGTGTGTGTGTGTGTGTGTGTGTGTGTGTATAATCTGCTATCATGTCAAAGGCACTGTGTGTATGTGTCATGACGGGTGGGAGCACTTTTATTTGGATTTTTTAGCTTTTTGGATCCCCATTAGGTTCCACAAGTGGTCACTCGTCTTCCTGGGTCCACTCCAAAAATGACCATTCCAAACATTTCACACATAAACCCACACACCCTTATAAAAAGCATTTACAATACAAAATAATTCCCAAACTGAACACAGGTTATTAAACTTCTACCAACCCCTGTGGTGCACATATACCAACTTTAAATAACACTTGTCTATCTCTTTGTTTACTCTTTTTTTTTAACCTAGAGTCAAAGCAAATTCCTACTTTGTTACTTCCTGTTATTTACAAATACAATGATATAACTCTGATTCTGATGAGTGCAACTAGAGGGGAAGAAACTGCTCTCACGGCTAAAGGTTCTGGTCTGTTATTGTCTTTGATTCAGCACTTACAAAACTCCCGGATTCTAGAAAGGAGGAATACAGATTGTGTTTCAGATCCTCTTTCTTAGGTCCTACTTTGAGGCTTGTGTGTCACTGTGTGTGTTGCCGTTTGCGCTGGACCCGTGGTTTATTCCGCAGTCGTTTGTACACTCAGGCGTACAAAGTGTGTAGTTTTGAAGAGATTGTTGTAATCCCACACTCCAACCACATGATGGCGATCTCACAGGAGTTGCCTGGGACCATGGATCTATTATAATAACTGGATAGGGTGTTACTAGCTTGGAGCTGAAGAACTCATGTGCTCGGGGGATTCTCGTGGTACTAAACCAGACTAAATTCACGTGGGCTACCCAAAAATGTTCCCCATAGAACTCAATGTAAACTAAAACAGCTCGACCTCAGCTGACAGAGAACATGACAGAGAACCTGACAGAGAACCTACAGCTTTCATGAAGGATTTTGTGGGGATTTTAGTGTCCCTTGTCATCCTGAACTTTTAACGTCTTAAATCCTTCGGTTTTCTTTAAATCCACACTTTAGTGCCACAAACTCTGCTCGTCTGGCTCCCGCTCTAACTCCCGCTCTGATGAACTGCTCTGATTGGTCAAAGCGCGACCGAGCCCCTCTGTGCACGTGCATGAAAGCCACACACGCGTATTTGGCGCAAAGCATCATGGGAGATCATCCACTCTGCAGAACCGGGAGGACCAGACGATGCCCAAATAGAGCGAGTGATATGGCGAGTTCCGCTGATATGTCGGCGACAAACCATTCCTTTGAATACGCCGCCATCTTGGATCGCCGGGCCTTGGGCTTGCCTGGGACACTAACGGGGTCTCGTTATAAAGTTACGGCAGCCATTTTCTCCTCTACAGAACAGGAACAATGGTGAACTAAGCTGTTGAGATTGAGCCAAATCTCAATACATCTGTTTCTATATAGTCGTAGGTTAATGCAACAATTATATATAGACTCAAAACACGTTTCAACTGTGAATGTGGAAATAAAGACAGTTATAATTCGGGCGTTCTGCTCTCCCAAAATTTCATCCACTGAGCGGCGCTGTGATCAAAAAATGACACCGTTTGTTGCCCAGTTCACTTCCGGTTGATTTCATACAATGGCGAATATGGCTCACGAAAACAACAAACAATTGACAGTGCCTGAATTGCGTGAAAGGTTGAAGCGAAAGGGTATTTGCAGTGTGGGAAAACGAAAGGAGGAATTGTTGTTGCTAGTTCAACGAGCGGATGGTGTTTATGAAGATTTAGAAGAAGATGACAGCGAGCAGAGTGAACGAAAACGGCTGTGTGTGCGAGTGACAGATGGTAACAATGAGAATGAAGTTCAGAGGGAAGATTGTGAATTGGACGGATGATTTGCGCGATATGCCACTAGTTAGAGACGGGAATGTATTTGCATACAGAAAATGACGAAAACACTCAACCATTTAGAGAAAATGCGCCAGGCAGAGAGAACCGGAAGTTGCGAAGGCAAGTGTTACCCATAATGCAACGCAAAATTCAGTCGCTCCCCCGCCCATCGGATGGAATTTTGGGAGAGCAGAACGCCCGAATTAAACTGTTACTGCACTTTACAATGTTCAGATATTGTTCTATTCTCTCCACACGGTGATGACGGAAGCGAGTTGCCGAACACGCTGGACCATCAAAACCTCTGACCAAACACCATCCATTCACTTACCGGAGCACCCAGAGGAAACTTACACAGATACAGGGAGAACATGCTATCTATCTCTTTCTCTCTCTCTATATCTATCTATCTATCTATCTATCTATCTATCTATCTATCTATCTATCTATCTATCTATCTATCTATCAGGTGACGTCCGGAGGTCTGGTCTACACGGGCCTTAGGTCTGACCGGTCCGGACGTTAGAGCAGCAGTGACTTTAGGACGTGTTGTGTTGATGCTGCGAAACCAGTTGAATGTTCCAATAGTAAATTCACAGGTTTGATCTTTTACCATCGAACCCAAAATAGAAATGACGAGATCTGCAACAATTTTTTCATTATGTCATTTTGAAACTCAAAAGGAGTGGGAAGAAGTGCAATGATCTTATCAGCATCTACCTCCATGACACGTACACTTAGAGATTACTTATTTACTTACACAGCACATTTGACATGATAGCAGATGGGAGAAATGCAATATACAGGCACGCACACACACACACACACACATAAAACACACAGATGCACAGACACATACAAATATACATTGGCATTTTAAAGTCTGAAAAACAGAAGTTAGGGTCAAAAAATCTCTTTTGTAGTTTGTAGTTCTGTAGTTTAGAGTTTGTAATCACGTGGTATTAATAATGTGATTGATTAATGAATGAATTAAACTATATAAGTAAAAGATACAAAAGCCATGTCACTGTTTTTATGCTTGAGCTTCCTGTCAGCAGCATTTCGAGAACTTTTAACCCATTACAAACATATGACATCGAACGTAATCACCATGGCAACCGTCTTACTCTCTCGTTACTTTGTTATTGAGACATAGTCTGGATTGTGTGTTCGATAATCTAACCATGAGATGTGATTCTTTGGCTATAGACAACTAAAAAAATCTTCAAAAGACACAGGGAACACACACAAGGATTGGGCTTTTAAGAGTTTTTAAGATTTTTAGGTTACGAGCCATTAGAGTTTGACCCTAAAAATAGAAAGTGGAGGCTAAAGGCTGGAGGTAAAGATTAAAGCTGTCAGAAAACTCACGGCGTAGAAGCAGCAGAGACGAATCTTCTCTGAGTGAGTGTGTTGTTCTCTGAGTGAGTGTGTTGTTCTCTGAGTGAGTGTGTTGTTCTCTGAGTGAGTGTGTTCTTCTCTGAGTGAGTGTGTTCTTCTCTGAGTGAGTGTGTTGTTCTCTGAGTGAGTGTGTTCTTCTCTGAGTGAGTGTGTTCTTCTCTGAGTGAGTGTGTTCTTCTCTGAGTGAGTGTGTTCTTCTCTGAGTGAGTGTGTTGTTCTCTGAGTGAGTGTGTTGTTCTCTGAGTGAGTGTGTTGTTCTGAGTGAGTGTGTTCGTCTCTGAGTGAGTGTGTTCTTCTCTGAGTGAGTGTGTTCTTCTCTGAGTGAGTGTGTTCGTCTCTGAGTGAGTGTGTTGTTCTCTGAGTGAGTGTGTTGTTCTGAGTGAGTGTGTTCGTCTCTGAGTGAGTGTGTTCTTCTCTGAGTGAGTGTGTTCTTCTCTGAGTGAGTGTGTTGTTCTGAGTGAGTGTGTTCTTCTCTGAGTGAGTGTGTGATAATCTGGATCCTGCTTCGGCTTCTGTGAAACTTCACTGTTTCGACAGACTGTGAGCGGAGGTGAGGCCTGCACTGGGAGGAGGGAGGAGGGAGGAGGGAGGGGGGAGGAGGGAGGAGGGAGGAGGAGGGAGGGAGGGGCTGGAACAGTTGGTGATGTTGGGGAGCAGGCTGATGTCACTTTTGAATTGGAATATTCTCTGCCTTTTTATTGAATTCAATCAATAAATCCATCACGTTTTATTTTTCATATTCCATCCATCCATCCATCCATTTTCTTCCGCTTCATCCGTTGCCGGGTCGCGGGGGCAGCAGTCTAAGCAGAGACGCCCAGACTTCCCTATCCACACACACCTCCTCCAGCTCGTCCGGGGGGACCCCAAGGCGTTCCCAGGCCAGCTGAGAGACATAGTCCCTCCAGCGTGTCCTGGGTCTTCCCCGGGGCCTCCTCCCGGTGGGACGTGCCCGGAACACCTCCCCAGGGAGGCGTCCAGGAGGCATCCGGAACAGATGCCCGAGCCACCTCAACTGGTTCCTCTCGACGTGGAGTAGCAGCGGCTCTACTCCGAGCTCCTCCCGTGTGACTGAGCTCCTCACCCTATCTCTAAGGGAGCGCCCAGCCACTCTGCGGAGGAAGCTCATTTCGACCGCTTGTATCCGCGATCTTGTTCTTTCGGTCATTACCCAAAGCTCATGACCATAGGTGAGGGAGGGAACGAAGATTGACCGGTAAATTGAGAGCTTTGCCTTTCGGCTCAGCTCCCTCTTCACCACAACGGTCCGATACAGCGACCGCATCACTGCGCACGCTGCACCGATCCGCCTGTCAATCTCACGCTCCATCCTTCCCTCACTCGTGAACAAGACCCCGAGATACTTGAACTCCTCCACTTGAGGAAGGGCCTCTCCACCCACCCGGAGATGGCAGGGCACCTTTTTCCGGTCGAGCACCATGGCCTCAGATTTGGAGGTGCTGATTCTCATCCCAGCCGCTTCACACTCGGCTGCAAACCGTCCCAGTGCATGTTGTAGGTCCTGATTCGTTGGAGCCAACAGGACAACATCGTCTGCAAACAGCAGAGATGAAATCCTGTGGTCCCCGAACCGGACCCCCTCCGACCCTTGGCTGCGCCTAGAAATTCTGTCCATGAATACAGTGAACAGAACCGGTGACAAAGGGCAGCCCTGTCGGAGGCCAACATTCACCGGGAACAGGTCTGACTTACTGCCGGCAATGCGCACGCAGCTCTGGCTCCGGTCATACAGGGACCGGACGGCCCTCAGCAGAGGACCCCGGACCCCGTACTCACGGAGGACCCCCCAAAGGACACCCCGGGGAACACGGTCGAACGCCTTCTCCAAATCCACAAAGCACATGTGGACAGGTTGGGCGAACTCCCATGAACCCTCGAGTATCCGATGGAGAGTATAGAGCTGGTCCAGTGTTCCACGGCCGGGACGAAAACCACACTGCTCCTCCTGGATCCGAGATTCGACCATCGGCCGTAACCTCCTCTCCAGTACCTTGGAGTAAACCTTACCAGGGAGGCTGAAGAGTGTGATCCCACGATAATTGGAACACACCCTCCGGTCCCCCTTCTTGTAGAGAGGGACCACCACCCCGGTCTGCCACTCCATTGGCACCGCCCCCGATCGCCACGCGATGTTGCAGAGACGTGTCAGCCAAGACAGTCCTACAACATCCAGAGACTTTAGATAGTCAGGACGGATCTCATCCACTCCCGGAGCCTTGCCACCAAGGAGGCTGCCAACCACCTTGGTGACCTCTGCCAGGGTGACAGAAGTATCCGCCCCAACATCCTCAGCCTCTGCCTCCGGAGCGGAGGACGTGGCGGGGGGATTGAGGAGAACCTCGAAGTATTCCTTCCACCGTCCGACAATATCCCCGGTCGAGGTCAGCAGCTCACCCCCCGCACCGTACACGGTGTTGGCAAAGAACTGCTTCCCCCTCCTGAGGCGCCGGACAGTTTGCCAGAATCTCTTTGAGGCCGACCGATAGTCATGCTCCATGGACTCTCCGAACTCCTCCCAGTCCCGGGTTTTTGCCTCTGCAACAGCCCGGGCCGCGGCACGCTTGGCCTGCCGGTACTGGACAGCTGCCTCAGGAGTCCCCCGAACCATCATGGCTCGATAGGACTCCTTCTTCAGCCTGACGGCATCCCTTACTGCCGGTGTCCACCACCGGGTTCGGGGGTTGCCGCCGGGACCAGCACCAGAGACCTTGCGACCACAGCTACGAGCCGCCGCATCGGCGATAGAGGAAGAGAACATGGTCCACTCAGACTCAATATCCCCCTCCTCCGCCGGGACCTGGGAGAAGCTCTCCCGGAGGTGTGAGTTGAAAGTCCGTCTGACAGGGGTCTCAGCGAGACGTTCCCAGCAAACCCTCACTACACGCTTGGGTCTGCCCGGTCTGACCGGCTTCCTCCCCTGCCAGCGGATCCAACTCACGACCAGGTGGTGATCGGTTGACAGCTCTGCCCCTCTCTTTACCCGAGTGTCCGAAACACGCGGCCGAAGGTCAGATGATACGACAACAAAGTCGATCATCGACCTCCAGCCTAGGGTGTCCTGGTGCCACGTGCACTGGTGGACACCCTTGTGCTCAAACATGGTGTTCGTGATGGACAAACCGTGACTAGCACAGAAGTCCAACAACTGAACACCACTCGGGTTCAGATCAGGGGGGCCGTTCTTCCCGATCACCCCTCTCCAAGTGTCACTGGCGCTTCCCACATGGGCGTTAAAGTCCCCCAGGAGAATGACGGAGTCCCCGGGCGGTGCACTGTCCAGTACCCCTCCCAAGGACTCCAAGAAGGCCGAGTACTCTGCACTGCTGTTAGGCCCGTAGGCCGTCACAACAGTGAGAGACTTGTCCCCCACCCGAAGGCGGAGGGACGCGACCCTCTCATTCACCGGGGAGAACTCCAACACGTGGCGGCTGAGATGGGAGGCAATGAGTATGGCCACCCCAGCTCGCCGCCTCTCCCCGCGAGATACACCAGAAAAGTGGAGCGTCCAACCCCTCTCAAGGAGTTGGGTTCCAGAGCCCAAGCTGTGTGTGGAGGTGAGGCCGACTATCTCTAGTCGGTACCTCTCGACCTCCCCCACAAGCTCGGGCTCCTTCCCCCCCAGTGAGGTGACGTTCCACGTCCCAAGAGCTAGATGTTGGGTGTGCGGACTGGGTCGCCGAGGTCTCCGCCTTCGACTGCTGCCCAGTCCTCTCTGCACCGAGCCGCCACGGACCCCTCTGCGGGTGGTGGGCCCACAGGAGGGACTGCCCACGTCGTCCTTTCGGGCTGAGCCCGGCCGGGCCCCGTGGGCTAAAGGGCTCGACACACGGGAGGCGACAAATGAGAGCGATCAGCGAAACTCAACGCTGTCGCTCAGATAACATGACAGACGGGGCGCGATGCGGCTTGACGACAGCGTTGAAAAGTTGAGCCGATTTCAACTTTCTGGGATCGCGTCGCTGACCTGCGCGTGCACGATACATGCACGAGCGGGAGGATTTCACACGCACGTTTTTCGCCCGTCGCTGAGCAGGAGGCTCGCTGGCGATTGACGCTATGTCGCGCACGTCCCATTGAAAATGAATGGAGGCGATGCGATGTCGCCTCCCGTGTGTCGAGCCCATAAGGCCCGGCCACCAGGCGCTCGCTTTCGGGCCCCGACCCCACGCCTGGCTCCAGGGTGGGGCCCCGGCTGCGCCATGCCGGGCGACGTCACTTGTTCTTTTTTTGTGCGATCCATGACGGGTTGTGGACTGCGCTTCGTCTGACTCGTCACCTGAGACCTGTCTGCCATGGGAGACCCTACCAGGGGCACGAAGCCCCAGACAGCATAGCTCCCAGGATCACCCGAGTACTCAAACTCCCCCACCACGTTAAGGTGGCAGTCCAGGGGGGAGTAAAAAATATTTTTTATATTGCAAAAAAAAAAATAGACAATTCGAGCAATCGCATAATCAGCTTATAACGAGACGACTAGCAGTGTGGAAACACCTACTGTGGATCAATAAATGAAATGAAAAAATGAAAGGAAGGTCTTGTCTTTTGTCTTTGTGGTTTTGTCAGGGAAGACTGTGGTAAAATCTACTAAATGTTCCCCTATTAGCCCCGTGTTATTAGCCGACATGGTAGCCAAGAGCGCTTTGTAAGTAAGTAAGTAAGTAAGTTTTTATTTATATACCGCCTTTTCACTGCAGATCTGAGTCTCAAAGCGGTTTACAATTGTTTATTTTTGGGCATTTGTCTCTCACTCCACACAGAGAGGGGAGCGGGGTCACCAGTACAGGAGGCGCATGCCAGAACTATTGGACATATTTTTAGTGGTAGGGGAAACCGGAGTACCCGGAGGAAACCTACGGAGACACGGGGAGAACATGCAAACTCCACTAAGAAAGGCCCTGGTCCGACCGGGATTCGAACCCAGGACCTTCTTGCTGAGAGGCGAGAGTGCTATCCACTCAGCCACCGTGCCGCCGCTTTGACGACGTTGCTGGTTACGTTACTGTTGCTCACCTGCCAATCACCTTATTAACAAGCAAAACTGGCTGTAGATGCTGGAAATGCTTTATTACCAGTCAAGAATATATACATGTAGTAGTGCAAAGTTCTGTACTGTACATATAGTGCAGGATAGTACGTAGATAAAGTAAAGTGACATTGTTCTCTGACATTATGAAGTTGCAGTATTGCTCATTGCACATAATTTAAGAATTTACTTATTTACAGATGAATAAAATTTACAGGCTCAGCAGTTCTTATTGTACAGTCTGACAGCAGCAGGAAGGAAAGACCTACGGAATCTCTCCTTCACACATCGAGGGTGAATTAGTCTGTCACTGAAGCTGCTCTCCAGAGCAGAGAGAGTGTCCTGCAGGGGGTGACAGTCATGGTCCAGCATAGATGTTAGTTTGCTCAGGACCCTCCTGTCCCCCACCTGCTGCACTGTGTCCAGGGAACAGCCCAGGACTGAGCTGGACTTCCTGATGACCTTGTCCAGCTTCTTCCTGTCTCTCTCTGTGATGCTTTTGCTCCAGCAGACCACACCGTACAAGAGGCTGATGCCACCACAGAGTCATAGAAGGTCTTCAGGAGTGGCCCCTGCACTCCAAAAGACCTGAGCCTCCTCAGCAGGTAGAGGCGGCTCTGGCCCTTCTTGAAGCGGGCGTCTGAGTTATGAGTCCAGTCCAGTTTGTGGTTCAGATGAACACCCAGGTACTTGTAAGCGTCCACTCTCTCAACAGCCCCTCCCCCCACCACCAACCATTCACACACACACCAGACTCACTCTAGGCAATGTAAGTAAGTAAATAATTTTAGAGCGCATTTTATAGACATCCAAAGCACTTTACAATGTTCAGAGTTCAGATATTGTTCCAATCACTCCACACAGAGATGACGGAAGCGAGTCCAGAACACACTGGACCATCAGCTCCTAATCAACCCCTTCCATTCACTCTCTCATTTACTGTACATTCATACCTAATGTGGGTGAAGTGTCTTGCCTAAGGACACAACAGCACTTTACAGCCGTAGCCGCCCCACTGCGACACCCGGTGCTCCCAGAGGTTAAGTGTCTTGCCCAAGGACACAACGACAGCAGACATCAGAAAAATGGATGCACAGATTAACTTCAATCATGTTATTCACTTTTCCACTTCAAAAAGAAGTTTAAAACTCTCATTCTGGATGGTTTCATGAGACAGTAATGTTGATACAGACCTACTGTGTTTATTCACTTACACTAATGATACAGTGGAGGGAAAGGGATGGAGGGATGGAAAACACAATCATCTGACAATATATGGCTTTGGAAAGACCTGTTTGTTTCATAATTCAATTAATTCAAAATATGGGAAAAACAATAAGAGCCTGCAAAAAATGCACTGCAAAAAATGACAAAAAATAAGGTCATAATTGCTTGAATCGAGAATTTTGGAGCACTTTCTGCCTGTGTTAAAACCCAAGTAATTTAATTTTATTTCAAGAAACAGGAAGACACTTTTTAAGGAAACACAGTTATTTTGCTTTGCCCCATTTGCAAATCTTATTTTAAGGCGCTCAAATTCAGATACTTTTGCCAAATTGGAGCCATTTCTGACTTATTTTCCCTTTTCGTCGTACGATCACTGTCTAAAACCCCAAAGCACTACTATCCAATACTACACATCTACAGGGCGTCCTCGACCGCGATACGTCTTTGTATCCGTGACCTCACAAGACACCGCCATCCCCACGCCGCTCCCCACGCCGCTCCCCACGCCGCTCCCCACGCCGCTCCCCACGCCGCTCCCCACGCCGCTCCCCACGCCGCTCCCCACGCCGCTCCCCACGCCGCTCCCAACGCCGCTCCCAACCACACTCCTGTCCCTTTTGTCTGCGTTATAATAGAACAAGCTCTTAAACGAGATTGTAAACTCCAGTCTGACCCACCCAAGGGCACTGGAAACGACTCTCCATATCACGTTTATTAGCTTATTAAATGCTATAATGATTCTGTTGCCGTGGCCTGGTTTCTCGAGGTGCCCCGGCGAGCTCACAGCCACTCCGCCCTTCTGCCTCCGCCCGCGCCGGGGTAATGATACAAACCAGCTAAGTGTGCGGCGAGAGGACGCTGGAGACGGAATTAAGCTGAGATTTTTGAATAAGAGGCACCCAAACGCAATCGCTAATTAAAAATACATTAACCGGTTATCGCGCGTTGACATGTTTCGCATGATTTTTTTTTTCTCTAATCAGTGGTAATGAAGGAAATGCTCGGCTTCCGTTGGGTTTTACACGCTACATTTCAGTGAGCAGTAAAATTAGCTGAAGGCCCAGAGGCTAGAATTGATGAAGCTTCTCTGAATTTGATTACGGTTCTTGTACTGTAGACGTAATTGAATGCTGCCTCCTCTCGAGAGCCGTGGCTATAATCCGGCATGAGTCGTTTGTTGAAATAACCTCTCTCATAAAAACATGTTTGCAATGTTCGGCAGGATTATTGAAGTTTGCTAATCTGAGTGGGGTAAAAAAAAGGAGGAACACAAAAACAGACTGTTATCAAATGTATAGATTGATAGAAAGATAGATTGATTATTTATTGATCCCTTTAGGAGAAATGCAGGTGGCTGGTAGCAGCAGAGACACATCCATCCAAACAAAACAAATAAATAGTTAAAAGTATTAAAATGCAACAGTCCTTCAGGTCACTGCAGCAGAGGTGGAGCCGCTTGGATTGGACCATTTTCTCTGCTCTGGTCCAAAGTGAAATGCTAAAAGCTTCATTAGCATTTAAAAAAAAGTTAGCATTCCTCCAATGGACTTTCACCTGAATCCTCTCTGCTCTGGTCTGGACCAGTGCAAAACCATGAATCCTCTCTGCTCTGGTCTGGACCAGTGCAAAACCATGAACACTGAACTGCAGAAACATCTCAGGCAGAAAAAAGCAAGAAAAATAACAATTATAAAACACAAAACTGTTTTAGAGACACTTTGGACTTGCTGCCGTTTCCAGTGCATTCAAAAGTAAATATAAAATATATATGTATATAAAATAGATTGAGTCAAACAAACATATTATCCAATGACTCATCAGCCCCTCACTGATCCTCCTGCAGGCCCACAGGAGGATTTAATTTTTTACTCTTTTTAATAAACACTGATTATTTATTTGAATGTCTTGTGTGACTGTCTCTTTCTCGTTTTCTTCTGCACTTTAACTTACCCTGTGTATCAATTGTGCTGTACAAATAAACCTGCCTTACCTATTCACGTTCCCAGTGCACAGAAATCTCTACATGTGAGACATTTTTGTTCGATAGCAATTTCTAAGCCTCCTTTTTTTTTTTTTTTTCACACTTCCAGGTTATTTCCAGCCGGAGACAGCGCTCGGAGCCAGAAGCTTTGGCCCGAGACAGAGAAGCTGAGGTCAGAGCGGCTCAGGCTCACGCTGCTGTTCCTTACATGCTCCCAATCCACTCCTATCTAGTACCTGTCGCCCGCCGCCGCCGCCGCCGCAAAATGGAATTGACTATTGATTTCCCCTTCACCACAGGTCAGTAGTGCTGGCAGGATACAGCCAGCTTTCACCGGGCCGGTTCTGGGACAAGGAGAGCCACCACACAGCACGGGGAAGAGATGTATACTTTAACCACTGGGCTGGGGCTGTCCACGTGTGTTTGAGCAATGATAATAAGTGTTGAGATGTTTGGGTGTGTGTGTGTGTGTGTTAACTGAGTCAATGGAGCAAATCCAGACCTTGGTACGAAATGTAATTTGTACTATAGTGTGGTCCGACCAGGCTAAGGCAGTGGTCCGACCAGGCTAAGGCAGTGTTAGGGAGACTATGTACACATGTTCAGGGACTGCAGATGAAAAATTGCCGACTTGGATAATTCTGGTGCATTTACAGACTTGTTTATTTGTCCCTGTCAAATAAACCAATAAAATAAAGTAAATCAAACTTTTCCCGATTTAAGCAAATGTTTGAGCAATGATGTGATGTTTCAGCAGTTTCCTGCTGGTGAGAGAGAAGCCCAGACTGGATTGTGTTATAATGTGTTATGAGACCACTCCCTCTCCAGTTACTGAAAATGCAGCATGTGGCTTTACAGGCCGCCTATAGATTGCAGAAATAGGAAGCTTTGGCAGCAATTTTACAAGATATTATTACCCAACATTCAAACCCATGGGTTGTCAAAGGTTTTTACAGTCAGCCTATGTGTGCAATCAGTTACAAAACAAGCATTCCACCCAAGAAGAAAATACTGGAGTCATTTGTCGGTTAGTGCAGAATGACAACCTATTCCACAGACATTTTCAATTTATATTTTGTAAAGCCCGAAATCAGTAGTTGTGGATCCGGCAAAATGAGATCAGAGAATCAAACAGTTCGAACACAGAAATATTAATATTAGCAAAAGCATAGGAGCCGTTGGTCTATGACGAGAGGCAAGACCACTGTCCATAAATGTTAATCATTGTTGATCATTAATGTCTTGGATCGTCTGGTTCTATTTGCTTATTCAGCTTATAACAAGATTGGAATTGAATGGGTTTTTTTTCTGAAAGAGGAGAGATTATGAGGAGAGGGAGGAAAGATAGGGAGGTGGAGAGAGAGGAGAAAGGAGAGAGAGTAGAGAGACAAGAGAGGGGAGAGGGAGGAGAGAGTGGGAGAGAGGAGAGAGAGGGGAGAGGGAGGAGAGACACAGGAGAGAGGGGAGAGGGAGGAGAGAGGGGAGAGAGGAGAGAGACAGAAGAGAGGGGAGAGGAGAGAGAGGAGAGAGAGAGAGAGAGAGGGGAGAGGCAGGAGAGAGAGAGACTCTTCACATTATTCTTAAACACAGTGATTATAAACTTCCACTGTAGCCACAGCTGCCCTGGGGCACACTGACAGAAGCAAGGCAACCAGTCTGTGCCATCGGCCCCTCCCACCACCACCAACCATTCACACACACACCAGACTCATTCTAAAGTGGGTGAAGTGTCTTGCCTAAGGACACAGCCACAGCTTGGCACTTTTATTCCACATTCATGAACATATGTAGTCAATAAATCGCCCTCCCTGGCTTCCCTGCTTGATTCTCTAATCTGCTGTGGGTGAATCGACGGTTGTGAAGTCCTCCGAGACGACTGCTGTTGTGATTTAGCGCCACACAAACACAAATAGAACTGAATGAAACTCTGAAAACCTCTTTTTGCGGCGGCACAAGTCTCTGGGAGTGCGTTCTGTTGCGCGGCCGCTCTCTGCTCACAGCTCTATAAACTTTGACGATGTGTTGCTCTTTGGACACTGATCCCACGGACATAAAAAGTAAACGGAGTGTTGTGTGCAATGAGAGCAGTGCATAAAAGTAAATGGCTTTGAACTTTATTTAAAGAAACAGTGAAACGGCGAGAGGATGCGGGGGCTGCGGGGGCTGTGGCCGGAGGTGAGGGCTGACTTTTGTGCTTGGCAGGGTTATTTATCACTTGGCACAGCTGATAAGAGAATGGGCTGGAGAAAGGCAGATTTACCATGATACAGGCACTAGGGGTGAAAAGGGTAGGAAGGTGTGAGTGTGAGGGGGATTTTCAATTAAATCCGCACATTTGTTGAAGCTGGGGTAACTAACTTTTCTAATTAAAAACTGCCGCGGCCAACTTTAAAACTACAATATATTTAATTAAAAGTCCATGTTGCTAGTTCCTCGCTCTGGGCAAAGGCAAGTGTATTTGTTTAGCATTGTTCATAGACATGGCAACTCAAAGTGCTTAGCAAAAGTAAGTCGTTTTTATCTATATAGCACAGACTAAGGTCACACAAAGCGCTTTACAATGTGTTTGGAGATCAGATATTTTTACCTTTCTCTCCAACACCGTCCGTTCACTCACTCACTCATCACATTGAGGCCTATTGCGCATGTTTTTAGTGGTAGGGGACACCGGAGCCCCTGGAGGAAACCTAAGCAGACACAAGGAGAACATGCAAAGTCCACACAGACATATCTGGAGGTGGGATCGAATCCAGGAGCAACCAAATCATTACACTCATAAATAATCAGATTGCAGTAAAAAGAGTGAAGTTACAGTCAAGTGGATTTAAACATTGTCTGAGAAAAAGCCATACCATCCATCCATCTTCTTCCCCTTAATCCATTTCTGGCTCGGCGGTGGCAGTCAGAGATGCACCCACAGAGCACCAGCCCCTCACTGATTCTCCTGCAGCTAACCAAAACCATTTTTTAGCTGAAACAAACACAAGTTCTGTCCATGATAAAAAGTATAGACCTTTTTTTTACTCCATAGAAACAAAGTCTTCCCAAAATCACAAACTCCCCATTTCTGTGAGCTCACAAACAAAGTTAAATGTCACGACAAAGTTTATATTTATTTTAATAACTTGTGTGTTACTAAAACAGGACAGAATGTGACCCAACGGCACAGACAAATGACTCAATTGCCTCGGTTTATAGAAGCTAATTATTCTTTTTTACACCTGGTCTCTCCCTAGGGTCCGATCACATAACAGTATACACGGTTTTGTAAAAAAGACATTGAGATGTTTTGAACTAGAATTGATGATACAACATTAAAGGAGCAGTTTGTACAAATGTGACCAAATGTGGTACTGCAGCCTCTCCCACTCTCTCTGACTCAGGTTGCCAGATATGCAGACGAATCCAGCTGGGACCATAACAGCTGAATAGACAAGAGTTTTGTCAACAACAAATCTATAACCAACACCTTTTTCACAAAGATAGAAATCCTGGTTTTATTCCTTGTTTTGTCGTTAATGATTTGAGAATCATAACGAGACCTTTTTTAGTTCTGTGCCACATGGTACTTTACCAGTGAGATTAGCTCCACGCGGTGAGTTCTGGCGCCCGGATCACAGACTTTCTGATTGGTGAAACGGTGGAGGGCGGGACATCGAAATGAAAACAATAACAAGATTTAGAGGCTGGAAAACTAATTCTGAAATACAAATATCTATGAACTACTGTTATCAGTTAAAGAAGTATTAGAAAAGATTATGTTTCATTAATGCCTTTGGACGGATTAGGGCCCTTTAATGTTGACAGATTAGGGCCCTTTAATGATGACAGATTAGGGCCCTTTAATGATGACAGATTATGGCCCTTTAATGTTGACAGATTAGGGCCCTTTAATGATGACAGATTAGGGCCCTTTAATGTTGACAGATTAGGGCCCTTTAATGTTGACAGATTAGGGCCCTTTAATGTTGACAGATTAGGGCCCTTTAATGTTGACAGATTAGGGCCCTTTAATGATGACAGATTAGGGCTCTTTGATGTTGACAGATTAGGGCCCTTTAATGTTGACAGATTAGGGCCCTTTAATGATGACAGATTAGGGCCCTTTAATGATGACAGATTAGGGCCCTTTAATGTTGACAGATTAGGGCCCTTTAATGATGACAGCCTAGGGCCCTTTAATGTTGACAGATTAGGGCCCTTTAATGATGACAGATTAGGGCCCTTTAACTCATTGAATGCCAGCCTATTTCAGAACAGGTACTCCCACAGTTCCAGCCATTTCTGATGATTTTTACTGATTTTTCAAGACCCACAGAATATTGTGTACTATGACTATCTGAAATCCAACACCAGATTCTAAAAGAATGGACTGTCTACTTTCCTCAGCAAAAAGAATTTTGTTTATAGCTTTTTTCGTTCCCCTGTAATCCTCCGTCGAGTAGAGGGAAGTTTTACTGAAATCACCAGAAATCACCAGAAAGTTGAGAAAAAAGAGGCACAACATGTGCACCTACATGTTTTCAAACCATTCAGAGAGCAATGCTGCCACCTGCTGGCTCGATAAAATATGGTCTCAAGTCATCCCCATACATATTAGATACAATAGACATCTGGGAACGTGAAAATAGCGAAAAAGGCAATTGACACGACGTTACTATTTGCTTTGACGTATTTGTGCGTCAATGGGACACAATGAGTGATGACAGATTAGGGCTCTTTGATGTTGACAGATTAGGGCCCTTTAATGTTGACAGATTAGGGCCCTTTAATGTTGACAGATTAGGGCCCTTTAATGTTGACAGATTAGGGCCCTTTAATGATGACAGATTAGGGCTCTTTGATGTTGACAGATTAGGGCCCTTTAATGTTGACAGATTAGGGCCCTTTAATGTTGACAGATTAGGGCCCTTTAATGATGACAGATTAGGGCCCTTTAATGATGACAGATTAGGGCCCTTTAATGATGACAGATTAGGGCCCTTTAATCATGATCTGACATAGAAATCTTACATATTGCTACTTTAAATTTGCAGACATCACCTATAAGCAGTTACTACATGTATCTTGGTTTAACATTAGTCTTTGGCCTGTCTGCTTGTAAATGAACATGAACTAAAATAAAACCTGTCACGTCATATTCCACGATCCCCATAGTTTGGTGTATTTTGGGCTACACCGCGTTAACCTGAGCTCTCTTTTTACACCAACATCATTGAACCACGGATTGGAAACAGGACAAGAGTGTCAAAAGTATCTCCAGGAAAAGATTCTGCATTTCACTGTTTCTGTCCTTATGTCTCATTATGGACCAAAGAGCCCGGCAGAGAAAGGGTTATTTCACTGTGTGTATGTGTGTGTGCATGTGTGAGTGTGTGTGTGTGTGTGTGTGTGTATGAGTGTGGGTATCTGTGTTTTTGTCTGTATGTGTTTGTGCATGTATGAGTGTGTGTGCGTGTGCGTGCGTGTGTGTGTGTATTTGCATGTATCAGTGTGTGTACGTGCGTGTGTGTGTATTTGCATGTATTAGTGTGTATGCGTGTGTGTATTTGCATGTATCAGTGTGTGTGTGTGTGTGTGTATTTGCATGTATCAGTGTGTGTGTGTGCATGTATGTGTGTGTGTGTGTGTATTTGCATGTATCAGTGTCTGTGCGTGCGTGTGTGTGTATTTGCATGTATCAGTGTGTATGCGTGCGTGTGTGTATTTGCATGTATCAGTGTGTGTGTGTGTGTGTGCATGTATGTGTGTGTGTGTGTGTGTATTTGCATGTATGTGTGTGTGTGTGTGTGTATTTGCATGTATCAGTGTGTGTGCGTGCGTGTGTATTTTTGCATGTATCAGTGTGTGTGTGTGCATGTATCAGTGTGTGTGTGTGTCTGTATTTGCATGTATCAGTATGTATGTATTTGTGTGAGTGTGTGAGTCTGTGTATGGGGGTCTCTTATATGTAATATATTTTATAATAATTTGTGTTGACAAACGGTAAATATGCAGACGTCACTCAAACCTCCTTCTTCTGTTTTTCTTCTTCTGTGTTTTCTCTGCAGCCACAGCCTCTGACATGGCCCAGTGATGTACGGGGCCTTCGCTGCACACGGCCCATAAAGAGTTGATTGCTTTACTTTGTTCTGCCACTCACAAAGCTTATTCCCGCTCCGGCCGCTCGCGCTCAACCCGCTCCCTCCGGCCGACTCCTGATTGATTGATTTATGCGTTGATCAGTGAATAACCTTCCCCGCTCAGCCCCATTTCGAGAAATCAAAGTCCAGCGGTTTGACGTGCCGAGCTGCATGCGGCGGTCATTAATATTCTCTGCCGGAGTTTTTCCCTGCTCCCTCGGAAATAAAATAATAAACTATACGGAGGCTGTTGAAGGTCATGTCAACAGAAAAAAAGTGAGATTGCGATGTCAAATACAGAGAGGCACGTTTGATGACTCAATTTCAGGTTAAAACTTTGTGGCATATTGCTTTCTGAGGCAACGGCAGCCATTTCCTGTTGTGTCAATGCTTTTCAGGTCGGAGTCACGGCTCGACATGGATTTGCAGAGAAATAGAAAATAATGGGTTCTTCTCCGCAGATTTGACCCGGTAACTTGAGCCAATTATGTCACTTGGCTGTATCTGTTTTAGATTGCAAATGTAATGCATGTGAAATCCAGGGCCTATTAGACTTCTGAAGCTGTGCAGGGCAGGGCCTGGTTAGTACTGTGATGGGAGACCTCTGGGAACATCAGGTGCCACAGGGGGGGCGGCTGCGAAGTGTCAAAGGCCCAGTCCCAATACCCACACTGCACCCTACGTCCTCCTATGAAGTGTGCATTTGTTTGAAGTGTGCGCAAGGGTTTGAGTGCGCAGGTTGCAAGCGTGCACAAAAGGCGGAATTGGGACAGTGCACTGAGTGCAGGTCACGTCATCGACTCGTCAAGAGATGGTCATTTTCAGACCTAAACTTTATAAACATTAAAGGTAACTTTGTCTGACCCTTTGGGAAACAAAATGAATTGCTTCACACACGTTAAAATACATGTATATTAGTTGTTTTTAATTAGAGATAGCTGTATAATTTTAAGTTAAATGTGGGTAACTAACTATCTGGTCAGTTTTTATACATTAAGATTATTGTACTAAGTGTAAAGTTTAAATTGAATGTTATATAAACACTTGCTTTAAAAAGTATTAAATTGTTAAAACACGATGTCCGTAATTCTTCATCAGACGTTTATGCTTCTTTCCAAGTAACATAGCAAAACTTATTTACACACATACTGCATATATATTTCAAAATGTATATTTAAATGCATTTTCCCGACGTTTTGGTGTGTACCGCAAAGAATTATGGGCAATATCCTTCGCCAGAGTGCGCATAGATGCAGGCTACGGCGAAGTGTGGATCAGGGGCACAAAGGGGGCGGGGCCAAAGACCTCCCTGGAGAATTGGGACACCCTACGCACTCGCACCTTTATCGGGAACGCGCAAATGAGGGGCGCGAGGGTGGAAGTGCGAGTATTGGGACGGGGCCTAACTGTCAATGTTTTGTTTGGGCAAGACACAGTAGGAGCCTGGACACACCACCAGCAGATGGCACTGTTGCGACCATGATGTGAGAAGGCATCTTTTTGGTTTTGAGCAAGTTTGGCATTACATTTGAAACACATTAGTTTATTTGCCATCAGAATCACATGAATACAAGTCAATATTGTCTGCAAAACAATTGTCAAATCTCGGCCACTCAATTCTACAAATAATCCAACTAATTCAAAGCTAGCAAAAACAGACACATTTATTTTTATATTACTTTTATCTGCCACCATTACAGCTTCATATTAGTTTTCAGACAAAGTGAGAACTGCTCAACCCACATAGATTCACAAGATTCTTCAAAGTTTGGAACATTGTTTTTAATAAGACAACAGCAATGCCGCATTTGTTTTCTTGCTCTTTTTCCTTCACCTGGCTCATTCTGTAGCAAAAAACATGTATTCATGAAACACACTGGTCAATTATAGGCATATTGGATGAAAAGGGTATCTGGCATAAACAGTTACACATCAATAACCCCTCAGTCCATTCACTTCTTCCTACGGTAGAACGGATGTCTTGCATTTCCGTTCCTCCTTCCATACGTCTGCCTTCTCGGCTCTCCATTAGCTGCAGGTCTAGCTCCAGCGGGGTACACCATGTAGTAAACGCCATATCCTGGAATACTCGGCAACGGGAGTCCATTCACTTTACTGATACCATTTCGACTCAGAACCGAAGCATCGACTGCAACTCCCGGCCCGTCATAGACAAACGGAAACTGCTTTTTCTCACCATCCAAACCCCACGGCCCAACAAGCTGGTCCTGGCCTGAAGGCTGGGTCTCCGTCAGGGGGTCGACCCGCATCATCGGCTCCAAATCGGGCCGCTGGTTGTTCCATGGTTCACCCCGGGAGAAGCTGGTTAACGGGTTGAACTGGTTTAGTCTGTGGCCTCCATACGCAGCAGGACGGGAGCGCGGGTCGACTCGTGGTGGGAAGAAGAATGGTTCGTAATTCACAAGTGGAGATTGAAGGTTGGGTTGAGAGGGCTGGTGCTGGAGGACGCTGGGATGTTGAGCAGAGTAAGGGGGTGGTCCAGACAGGTCCGGTGCCCCATGGAGTCCTGGGTAGTTCAAGCCCAATGCAGCCGCCTGAGCTATGGAGCATATAACAAAAGAATATGAATAAGTACCTAGTGAAGAACTCATACTGAAATGATCTTGCACTTGTATTGAAGTGGTTTTTGTGGATCAATTTCACAGGGACAAATGTTTCCTACACTGTTCTAGCTTGTTTTTATTTGTCTGGTGCACACTGGGGACTTTTGCAAATCTATTCCAATGTGGTTTTGGAAATGACAAATGAATCTGAAGTTAATGTACAAGCTCCATGTTTTCTGCCATTCAGACTAGATTCTAATGTAAAAATAAAACCCCGAATGTATTCAGTAACTTAAAAATGAGCACAGTTAAATCATGGTGTAGCTTCACTTTTATACCTCACATCATAAATGTTTTGTCTCAACAGAAACCAGCTTGAAAGTAACATTCTGTGAACAAAACAGACCATATCATGCAGTCATTACTTAAGGAGAAAATGTTGTATACTTGTAAGAGAGCCCTCTGAGTCACTGTTTGACCTAATTTACAGAGTCAGATGGTGTCTCTTTTGCGTTCTAAATAATTTGATAATGATGTGATTTATACATGTGGAAACAAACGCTAGAACCAATTTGTTTAGAGAATGATTAACCATTACATACTGTATTGAATAGTTCATTTTTTTGTGGTTTGAAAGTTAGCAACCCCAGCTTTAAGGTCATTTTAGCAAAGTTGATCAAGCAAGCTTTTTTAGTAAAACAGTTTTGAGAATACATTTACCCACAATAAAAGGGCATCTAAACTTGGCCTCGTTTGCATTTTACATTGCAAAAAAAGTAAAAAATAAAAGTGTGTTGTCTTAATTTGAATTCATTCTGCTTTAAAATAATAACCCATTTTGTTTTAGTTCACGATCTGTTGCTTGATTATGTCATTCCAAGGGAGACATTTCTAGTATCTTTTTAAAACTAGATCAATCCGCTTGTCTCATTGGCAAATCTTGTTTTCAGAAATCTTGTTTAAAGCTGCTTTGGAGGATTTTTCAAAACCATCTACATTGATTTTTTTTAAATGTGCAAGCATAAAATATTGCGGAATAATTACAGCACTCAATGTTTTAATATGTCAAGCAGAGTGCACAATTAAAAGATTCCCAAAAATTCAGAAATAATAATATTAATAACACAAAATACACCACTACTTTCTGAAACTACATTTTCGTCGTCAACATGATGCTTGTATTAGCGACAGAAAAGTTAAACTAGAATGCCACTGTACCTCTGGCAGCTTTGGCACAGTAAGCACCTCCGGCAGACACAGTGTGAATCAGAGCCGAGCTGTTGAAGAAAACAAACACACCCCGTGAGTCTAAAAACTACAACTTTTCACACACAAAAAACTACTGATTTAGACAAAAAGATTTCCAAACCTGAGACTCAACACCATCAACGCTAAGGCCTTCTCCGTCATGCTGGATCCAAAAGTCACACAACAGTCACCTTGGTCTGGCCTCATTTACTGATTACATACAGCTGCTCGTCACACGGACCAACCACTGCTCCCAGCCGCAGCAGGAGTCATCAGGGAAAGGGCACGTCTGATTACGACCACTCGAAACACACAAAACGGAACAGAATCCAACCGTGTTATGAGGAGATTAATCTGGTTCTAATAAGGATTTTTCTGTCTTAAAACTGGTGTAAATTAATTAAAGATAAATTATAATTTTTCATACATATTCATTTTCTTGTGTTTTTCAAATCATTCATTGCAACAGATTTCCCTGTAGTTGCGTTTGAAGAAAAAATCAGATTGTTTTTGAATTGTCCTTATCAGCAACTGTAGATGATTCCCAAAGATTTTCATGTCAGTAGTTCAGAGATATTTGGATTTCTAAATTACTTTTCCAGCCCCTACATCTTTTTATTGTGTTCATTTCGATGTCTCGCCCTCCACCGTTTCACCAATCAGAAAGTCCGTGTTCCGGGCGCCAGAACTCACTGCGTCGAGCTAATCTTACTGGTAAAGTACCATGTGGCGCAGAACTAAAAAAGGTCTCGTTATAATTCTCAAATCATGAATCACAAAACAAGGACTAAGACCAGGATGGGTCTATTCAGCTGTTATGGTCCCAGCTGGATTGGTCTGCATATCTGGCAACCTGTGTCAGGGAGAGAAGGAGGTTAATTTGTCTCACAGTGGGGAAGTTTCAATATCATAGTTGTTACATTACAGCAGAATAGAAGGAACAATAAGAGCACTCAGGTTTTGCACACATCAAACAAGTTAAAGTAAGACCTTTTTAGACCTTTGTAAGACTTGTATTAGATTCGCAGTGGGGAGATGAAGGTGTTTCAGCACATACAATTCAATTCAATTCAATTTATTCAGTAAATCATATTCAGATTTATACAGTAAATCACAACAGTAGTTATCTCAGAGGACTTTACAAAGCCTTTGATTTTTCCAACACAGATCAGAGAATTAAACAGTTCAAACACAAGACATGCAATGATAGAAAACACAGTGAGCCATTGGTCCATATGGGGCAGGGACCTGTCTATAAATGTTGATAAATGTTGTCCTGGATCATCACCACTGTCCTCTTGAATCTGATTTGTATTTTTTTTTTTTATCGCAAATGGGAAATAACATGAATACGAATCTGAGAAACTCCCAGATGGCAATTTTACTAGCATTTATTAAAGGTGATATTCAAGTACATATGCCTTCCAAAATAATGTGTTTTTCTGACCAAGGGACACTGCACTAGCATGTACAGTAAGTCATTTTCAACCATAATACTTTTTAAAATAGATTATAGATCCTCCAGAATGGAAAAAACTCTAAAATCCAGTGGGAAAAGGTGAGAAACCTCGGGCGGCCCACAGTGGAAAAGAGGTCTGCTCCCACGGACAGGTGGGCTGCAGATCCAGGACTCAGGCTCCAGAATGAGGACAGACTTTGAGAGTACATCAGACTACAACATCTGTCTTTATCTTATTTCAAAACATGTTCTCTTTTACATACTGAGAGCTGATTGGCTGAGGGAGTTCTGGTACTCTCTTTTTCTCTGAAAGCCTGCGGACTGCCCTGCTCGACCCGCCTGGGAGCGCTTCAGTCCTGCACCGGACCTGTCCACGCTCTGCGGCCGCTGCGTGGCCTCGGTCCTCGTTCTGTAGCTTAGGTCCTGGATCTATTCGATTCTCTGAGCTGTGTTGGTGATTTCAGTGGTTTTGTTAAGTCGTCTGAGATGATGCTGTTGTGATTTAGGGCTGCACAAGAATAAGTTGTTGTTGTTGTTGAAGCAGCTGTTCTAAAAATACGACAGAGGCCAAACATACATGTGTAAAAACTGGTGCTACAACCAAACTTTGGAACTACTTTAATGGATTTTACTTCATATTCCCACCTCCACATCTTCTCCAGCGACTCCCACTGATGACTGCTGCCGTTGTGTCCTTGGGCAAGACACTTAACCCCACTTTGCCCAAAAGCCCCTGCTGAAAGATCAAGGCTATGCTCACAGTCAGAGAGCAGCCGTCCTCCTGTGGACTCACCACCTGCAGAGGGTCAGTGAGGGGCTGGTGCTATGAGACTTGGGTGGCATCTCTGATTGCCCCCCCCCCGACCCAGAAATGGATTAAAGGGTAGAAAATGGATGGATACTTCATATTGATTCAGGTTAAACAATTCATCCGGACATTGAAAAAAACAAAAAAAGCTATTCACATAGAGAAAGATTGATTGAAGTAAAAAACAAAAACGGTTTGATTCTTTGATCTGTTTGGACAGTCCTCCATAATTATAACAATAATAATAATTGATAATCTTGTATAATATTTGTAACAGTAACAAAATGGTGAAGATAAAACCTGAAAAGTTCTGTGTCCAGTGCGATCGACCAGCAGCGATATTAGCCCTCAACCAAACTAGCTAAAGCCTCGGAGGCATTTAATAATTCATCCAAATTATTTCTGTCAGGACGGACAAGCCCGATGGCCGCTTGATTTAATTCTGTAATTGCACATTCACCTTTAGCCTGCACCCATACCTGGGTAATTAATTGGCCCTGGGTTTATTTGAAGTGTGCCATGGGCTGTAATGGAATTCAAATTGCAGGTGATGGGAAACCAGAGATGTAAATGTCCACTTGGCCAAAGGGTTCCGGCGGCTCTGTCCCCGGCCCGGAGCACAACGGAAGTGACAGCAACTCCCAATCTAGCAAGAGACAAATGGATCCGTACCTTTGTCCAATTTCGCACAAAGCCGACCTCATTGGAACTAATAGAATTTAGAGGTTGGATGTGTTTTGTCGATTGGTTTAGCGAAGGTGAGGTCTTGTGTGGAAATGTGGGAAATGTGTCGGAGAGTTACAAACAAGACTGGACAACGTTAAGATCTTCTGCTCAATTTCAACCCAAATCCACAGTAAAATCTATGAATTAAGCGATATTGTGGATAGCTCAAAATGTAAAGGTGCACTTTTATTGATCCCCGTAGTAGGGCAATTCATCCTCTGCATTTGACCCATCCTGATGCCGCTAAGGCTCACGTCAGGAGCAGTGGTCGCCGTAGTAACAGCGCCCGGGAACCCATCTCCAGATGTTGATGCTCGGCTTGGTCAGGACCAGAGCTGGAGGATTAACCTAGTGAGCATGTTTTTAGTGGTAGGGGAAACCGGAGTAGCTGGAGGAAACCTACGCGAGCACGGGGAGAACATGCAAACTCCACTCAGAAAAACCCCATTCCGACCGGGATTTTTTTTTTTTTTTTTTAGCACATTTTGACTGACTAAAAACTAAATTTGCAGATGGGAGAGAGCAAAATGATCTTGTTTAAAAAAGTACAAGAAATGTGGATGGAATGAGAAAATCAAGCAGCCGTTCTTGAAAAAAGACAAAAAGGCTTTGTCCCATTGGAGATTCTAGTTTGAACACAGTCAGAATGAACTCAGATTAAAATAATAACCACTTGATTCAAGAATTTATTACCTCACATTTATCAGTTTTTGCAGTGTCTCTGTTAGAAGTCAATATACCTCAAACATAAATGTTCACAGTGTTTTTACTGCAAATGGCAAATAACATGAATCTGAGAAACTCCAACATGGACATTTAGCTAGAATTTATTAAAGGTGATATTCATAAACAAAAGCCTTCCAAAATAATGCGCTTTTATGAACAAGGGACACAGTACAGTAAGTCATTTCTGTTTTGATTTTTTCAAGACAACATACAAACCATACAAAATATAAACATGATATATTCTTTGTACATTTCTTCTGTAGTAACAACAACACAAAATACATCAATAAATAAAACACACAAAAAACCATCTTTTGCTATTAAGGTTTTTTTTTATATAAGTTAATGAAAGAGGGACCGCTGGGAAAGTGAAGCAATAATCAGTAAGTAATTTTATCCCGACCAATCACTTTAAGCTCTTTTAAAATGGTCCCTCCCCTTTTCATAGCACTAAGATTTGTTGGAGGAGAACGGTTAAACCAATCACAAGGGACCTCAAAAATGTGATTAAATTTCGTCCAATCAGGAGGCTGCGGGGGTGATTATGGGCGGGTCTAACATGTCTTCAAAAAGTCTCTCTCATTTTCCATTTTCTTTTTTATGCAGTTTTAAATGTAGATGGTTGTCATATGTATACGTCTTTTTTATGGCTGAATATGACTTCTGACTCTTTACTTCTCTCAGCTCAGGCCTTTCATGAGACGGAGAAATCATAGAACGACTTTTGGGGGTAATTCTGTCATGTTGTAATTGCTTTGAGTGTCATAGATGTTCTTTTGATTTAATATTATCGTTTTCGCAATGTCTATCCGAAACAATTTATCGTCCATTCACAATTTGTTATCCAGACATGCCGAGCAACAGGTTCTGGAAAAAAATATGAATGAATAAATGTTTGTTTTGATGGCCCATTGCACACGAGCACATACTTGAGGCTGAGAGCTCCTTCACTGGGCAGTAATGGGTACAGATGTATAATTATGCTTTTAGCCTTTCTCTTTCATGGCCCTTTTGACAAACCTCTCAGTTTGACTTTGACACAGAACAGGCAAAGTCTAAGCTGGTTTCTGCTTTGGCTCCACGGGACTTTGTCTTTCTTCGACAGTGGCTCAGTTGGTAGAGCATTGGCCTTTGAGCCCGAAGGTCGTGGGTTCGAGGCCACTGCGAGACCCTCTCCACCGACACTGCTGATGTCTGCTGTCGTTGTGTTCTTGGGCAAGACACTTAACCCACTTTGCCTATGAGGAGCGCGGAAGTGATGTTCGCTGCTTGACTTGATGTGTATCTGTGTATGTGTGTATATGTATGTGTGTACATGTATGTGTGTACATGTATGTGTGTACATGTATGTGTGTATATGTATGTGTGTATATGTATGTGTGTATATGTGTAGGCATCAAACTGAAATGTCCTCATTGTGGGACGAATAAATAACCTTCTTCT